TTGAAGTATAGTCTCAAACATTTTCGAAAAAGGCAGCAAACAGCAGATGCTTTAACGCCAACACACGCCGGGCGCGATTCGGGAACGCGACGCGTTGCTTACGAATTTTTCAGTTTTCAAAAGCTGCTTTGAGATTTGACAATCTTGTGATATTCTTGGTAATACTGAATGATAATACATTTTGACTAGCGTGGTACCCATATCTCTCAAAATTTTCTTTCATAATTGAAACTATTTGCTTCTGAAAATGGAAAACTCGCGTCGCGTTAGCGAATCGCATCCAGTTTGTGTGCGCCTTTAGAATTTCGCGCCGCGACGCACTATTTACACCGATCAGTGCGCACAAACTCCGTGACGCTTCACACTTACGGAAAGCTATTATTCCTAAGCCGGAAGGTAAAAGGTACGACTTAGCTTTTAAGGTGATCCCATATATTAGGCGGTAATCAAGTTATAAAGGTGAATATTAAAAAGAACAAAAAATACTTTCAATTAGAATACCTTGCAGTTGATCCAGATATCCAGTTTGTTAATTCTCCTTTTGTTTGTGAAGTAATATAGTTCTAGTCATGCAGCCAGTATTGCCGTGAACTTCATATTTGAAGATCAAATTAACAAGCAGTGAACTTCAAAGTGCAAAAGCAAATTAATCTTTAAACTGAGAGCTCCACGCTCATATCCACTTTGCCTTTGTCTCTGATTCGACGCGTTTAATTTACATCTTCCGGGGTATATATAATAATAATCAGCACCTGCATGTAAGACTGTTTTTTTACCTTGGCCAACAGCACCTCTGACGAGAAAAGCAAACGCAGCAAAGTGAGACATATAGTGATATAGACCGTAGGGCATTCTGATCAGTTGACTAACAGAAATTTACAACTGGGAAATCAACTTGGATGATCTGTCATTCAGTTTTACACAATCTTCAAACTTCTGATATTGCTAGCAATAAAGGCAGAGAACTGATGTTCGCCTGCATTCCTTAATTTAGTTGCCCCCATAAGTTCACTTAAATGAATACACCAAGAGGGTCTCGGGTCAACAAAACACACTGTTTCCCTAGGCGTAGTGTTTGAAACTCGCGCGTCAATCGGGTTCCGTAGTATGAGTGATGGTAATATAAATGAAGGTAGTATGAGTGAAGGAAATACGAACGAAGGTACTATGAATGAAGGTAATATGAATGAAGGTACTATGAATGAAGGTTGTATAAATGAAGGTAATATGAATGAAGGTTGTATGAATGAAGGTTGTATGAATGAAGGTAATATGAATGAAGGTAATATGAATGAAGGTAATATGAATGAAGGTAATATGAATGAAGGTTGTATGAATGAAGGTTGTATGAATGAAGGTAATATGAATGAAGGTTGTATGAATGAAGGTTGTATGAATGAAGGTAATATGAATGAAGGTTGTATAAATGAAGGTACTATGAATGAAGGTTGTATGAATGAAGGTTGTATGAATGAAGGTAATATGAATGAAGGTAATATGAATGAAGGTAATATGAATGAAGGTAATATGAATGAAGGTTGTATGAATGAAGGTTGTATGAATGAAGGTAATATGAATGAAGGTTGTATGAATGAAGGTAATATGAATGAAGGTAATATGAATGAAGGTTGTATGAATGAAGGTTGTATGAATGAAGGTAATATGAATGAAGGTTGTATGAATGAAGGTAATATGAATGAAGGTTGTATGAATGAAGGTAATATGAATGAGATGAATATAATGAATGAAGGTTGTATGAATGAAGGTAATATGAATGAAGGTTGTATGAATGAAGGTAATATGAATGAAGGTAATTTTATTTTTATTAAAAATTATTATTATTAAAAACTTTATTTACCCACGCTAGCCTCGACAGCATATTTATATATAGCTGATTTCCACGAGGGGCGTCACACAAATAATACAATGTAATATAAGTACTTTAAAAAAGATAGAGTTAAAAAATAATGTAAAATACATAAACGTATTTGACACGTGTGGCACAGCATCTTCCACTAGTTTACTGCTATTTCTCGTTTAAAGCAGTTTAAAGTATCTGCCGATTTAGCTGCAGGTGAAAGGTTGTTCCATAGCATGGCGCCGTTCTGGGTTTTGGAAGAATTAAATCCTTTTCACTACTTCTAAGATTATAAGTATTTTGTTTCACACTCTTTTTACAGAAAGATTCTTTTAGACTTATGGCGGCGTAGCCATTTAACACTTTGTACATAAATACAGCCTTGGATTTTTCCCTTCTATTTTCGAGTGTTTCCCAGGACAAGGTATTAAGAATGTCTAGTGACCTTTCATCGTAGGTGGCACTAGTTATTACCCTTGCTGCGCGGGACTGAAATTTCTGCAGTTTATCTTGAAGCAATTTACCGCAGTTTGACCACAAGGTAGAACAATAGTCAAAATGCGGCTGGATCAGTGCTTTATAAATAGTTTGTAACGTATTAGGGTTGACGTACGGTTTAGCGCGCTTTATAGCTCCGATACCAGAACTTGCTTTCTTGCATATTTTATCAATATGTTTTACCCAACTTAGATTTTCATCAATTTCTACTCCTAAACTTTCAAAAGAATGAATTAATGGTACTGGTTTGTCGTCAAAAATTACAGCATTTTCACCAACCTTATTTTTAAGGTTATACGGTGATCCAATAAACATCAATTTGGTTTTAGTTGGGTGGTGTTGTAACTTATTTTTGAAAAGCCAACTATGCAAGTTTTTTAAGTCCTCATTTAGATTTTGGACAAGAGTATCATAGTCATGTGATGATGCAGAAATTACAGTATCGTCAGCATAAAGATAGGGAGTTGTAGATTTTAGGCACTTTGGCATATCATTAATATATAATAAAAATAGCAACGGGCCAAGCATTGAGCCCTGTGGAATTCCACATATTATTTGTTTAGGTGACGAAAACTGACTATTGACAAGGCACACTTGTTCTCTCTTGTGATAAGATTCAAACCATTTTAGCTCAGCCCATTAATTCCAAATTGCGTTTTCATCTTTTTTAGTAAAATAGAGTGATCAATTGAATCAAAAGCTTTTCTGATATCAAGAAAAACAACGCCATATAGCATGCCATTGTCCATATTCTCTAATCATTGATCGCACATTTGGATCAGTGCTGTCATGGTTGAGTGATTTGGCCGGAAACCTGATTGATGTTTGGAGAGCAAGAGATTTTGAGATAAATGGTCATATAACTGATCAAAAATTTCCTTCTCAAATATCTTACTTATTATCGATAGAATTGAGATAGGTCGGTAATTGTCACACTTTTGTCTGTTTTCAGATTTAAAAATTGGTGTTATCCTAGCCATTTTCCATGCATCAATATAAATACATGTGTTGAGAGATAAATTAAAAATGGCGGTTAATGATGGTGCTATTATATCTGCGGATATCCTAGGTATTTTAGCAGTTATATTATCCAAACCCGTCGCTTTTGAGATTTTGAGTTGCCTCAGACTTATGGTAACATTGATTGGGCTAATTAAGGAAAAAGCAAATCGAGGGCCAGAAAAACTATCGGAGCAATCCTGAGAATCTAAACTGTTTGTAGGTTCACACATTTCAGCCGCTAATTTAGGACCGATTTGTACGAAATATTCATTAAAAGCGTCAGCTATTTGTTTGTCGTCTACGATAACTGAATTATTGATATGAAGTTCGTTAACATTGGATGATTTTTTACTTCTATTTAATAGGGTGTTTATCAGATTCCAACTTTTTTTAACATCTTTACTATGTGAGCATTCTTCAATTTTGTCTCGAAAATAAGTTTTTTTAGCGCTTTTCATTGCAGCATTAACCCTGTTCCGTTCTGATTTATACTTATTTCAATGTGCCGTAGATGAATGTTTTATTGCATGCTTTTTATGAAAATCTCTGGTTCTCATTAATCGTTTAACGTCAGATGTTATCCAAGGCACCGAGCTGCCTCTTATTCTCTTGCACCGAATAGGCGCGTGCCTATCAAGTATCTCGAGAAAAAGGGATCTCCAAACATGCCAGGATACATTAGGATCGTCAAATTGGTGTACAATTTCCCAAGGGATTTGCGATATTTCTTCTATAAAATCGCTTTCAACAAAATTTTTGTAGTCACGGATTTCTTTATAAGTGTGCCTTAATTTCGGTACTTTAATACTTTTAACTGCAAAAATCAAACTGTGATCCGATATTCCAAGATGGATCACGCCAGAATTTATTATATTTTCAGATCTGTTTGTTAAAAAAAGGTCGATTAAAGTTGCCGATTCTGCGGTCACTCGTGTTGGTTCAGTGATTAATTGATCCAATTGGTATAAAGAACATGACAGTTGGAGTCTCCGCGTATGGGAGTCTGGAACTGCTTTAACAAGATCACAGTTCATATCTCCAACAATCATTAGTTCTTTATTTTCAAGATCGCATTTACACAGAAATAAATCGAGTTCATTAAAGGCGTCGTTATTGGAATTAGGCGGCCTATACCAAACACTTACTAAGAAAGCCACTCTATGTGGTCTACGTACTTCAATACATATTATTTCAAGCGTTTCTGGAAGGAGATCTTTCCTTTCAGAATATGAATGAAGGTTGTATGAATGAAGGTTGTATGAATGAAGGTAATATGAATGAAGGTTGTATGAATGAAGGTAATATGAATAAGGTAATATGAATAAGGGTAATATGAATGATGGTAATATGGATGGTGACAGCACGACTCCTCGAATGAAGGTAATAAGCATGAGAGTTCTTTGCTTTTCCGACCTGAATGTCCGATTCCTCAAGGTAATACCCGGATATTTGGGTATTCGTATACCCCCTGGCCGCGCTTGTATTTTGTCAAATTTCAAGCAGTGAAAAGACCTCATATAAGTCATATAACCTTGGTCCGCAGTCATTATATATAAATTATATTTACGTTGCGATCCTCGGTAAATAACTTACATATAATGTAATTAACTAACATTAACGGAACATTTCATTAAAAGTAAAACTTAATTTTTATTTTTAATTTCTTTCGCCTATAGGCTATTTTAACAAAGACATTTTCAAATGTTCTTGATAACTAAAGGACTTCTTGCTTTATATTACGTAGATTTCGTTAAATTTATAACAAGCAAAACTTAATATTAAACTATCAATTTACAGAAATACTCGATAATGACGGACTTCAATAAAATCCGTCTAAAAATAAGCCAGTTTGAAATAAAGATTCTGCACACATCCACCCAAAGGTGGACAAAAACGGAAGGAGCAGGTTCTGAGTAAATGAAATAAAATTCAAACAAAAAACGCATGAGTGAAGAGAATCAAAACTTCAAACTGGCACATTTACATGCAAGATATCAAACCTAATTCAAGGTAATATTAGTACGCCCCTGCGCAAACGAAGGCGAGATCTGAGTTTACAAGAGGATGTTCGAGTTTTAAGCAAGGGTCATCATGCATGGTGATCAAAGGTGCAGTGTTGCTTAATTCTCACTATAAATCTGAACAAATGCAAAGTTGATGGTCACATAGTTAACGAGTGGATCTTTATAGTTGGACAACTAGCACTCGTTTGCTGAAAAATATTTCGGCTGTGAACAATATATTAAGTGTTATATATTATATGCCAGATTAACGGGTAGACATTTAAGGATATTTTGTCCGCTTTTACGGCGTATCAACGTTTAACATTTGCACTTTCAGATATATCTCAATATTAAGTTTGATAGAAATATTCCTAGAGCGTATTTTTTAATAGTTACGGACGGAACGCAGGTTTAGTGGGGGGGTGCAACTTACATGACGTGTGCTCTTATATATCAACTCTCGTCTTCGCCTGGCAGAGGTTTGTGTAGTTTTGTAAAACAGAAGAGAGTACCCGATCGTCCTCTTCTATTTCAAAGTAGCGTATGCGCATCTCTTATATACATACATAGCGTTCACATATAATAAATATTTCGAGCCTCATTCTCTTGCAATGAGCAAACGCTCGATTCAAATTTATAGCCTACAGAATTAAATTACCTTGGAATATTTCTACCTATCTGTACAAAACCTTAGGAATATTTATAGTTCTATACAGCATCCCTATGTATATATCTATATAAATCGGTGCTGAGCAATGCAGCCGTTCTATATACCTAATCTCTTTTTCACTTGCGGTACCAATGAACTCGCTGGTGCGCTGCGAGCATGCAGTTACTGCATGCAGCCGGTAATGAAATCTTTAAACGGATTAGGTCTGGGTTGATTTCGACATCCAGGTGATCTCGTGCACATGCTTTAGCCAAAAAGCGCTAGTGTGTCGGAATAGAAACCATTCTGCTGTATTTGATCAATTACAGCTTTTGTCATTCTTTATGAAACAGAAATTTCGTGATTATGTTTAGTTATCAGCTATATAGCACTGTCGTATATTTGAAAACGAAATAAAGCATATTTCAAGAGACATTAAGTTTGCTTCAACCGAGAAATGGACAACTAGTTCCAGTCCTTTCCCGCCATTTTATATCACCTGGTTTACTATATCGAAGAAGTGAGGAAAATAATAAGTTTTTTTTCACTCTGGGGCGCTTGCAGCGAGTTGGTTTTGGTGTGACTGGCGGAAAAGAGCTTCTAAAATGCTTACACCAATCTTGCATAAGTTAAACATCGAATATTTATATGATAGGTTCTACGATATATAAAATAATTGCACACATGTGCATTGATACAAAAAAAGCCGCTCGAGTGACTCGACATGTGTCGGCCATCATGGAAACCGCTTCTGGGAATTCACAAAGCCTTGCTATTGACCGCGTTTTATTTCCCAAATTCGTGACGCAGAAATAAGCAAGGCGGGTGGCCAAGTTGAAATGTCAACAAAGCATCCATACAGCGGAATCGAGCAACGAAATATATTGAGCATGCATGAAGAAATATTTCACGTACGTGAAGGTATAATGGACAAAATATTTGATGTGGAAAGTTGGAAAAATTTTGAACTATATACTAGCAAATATGTGCAGATGCCGTTCGCACATATTGTAATTATGTGTTTTGAGTTTCAGTTTGAACTAATTGCCGTGAGTATATGTCATGGTGGCTGATGTAATAGAATGTTTGATTTCAGAATATTAAGACATATGTAGTTCCTTGTTCACAACAATTACGATCAAATTTATGGAATACTTGCATGGGATTAGTAATGTTTGGAACATTTTATGAATGCTTCATTTAAAGCAATGAAAATTGCTAATAAATCCACAAATATTTATGATCGTAAATATTTCTCTATATATTTGAATCATCATTTTAACAAATGTTTTAATACCCCCGAAGGGTCTCATTTCTCGATGAAAACAATCCTTTTGGTAATACGATGGTCAAATAAATTTGAAAATTTTAAATTGAACTAAATTGTCGAGTTGTCACTGCTGTGAAAATGTTTCAAACATTACGAAAGTGTATGTCTTCCTTGTCCTAATGTGCGTAATCTCCGAAAGCTCGCAAGATAGGATTGTTGTCACTAGGCCGATTCAATTATCGGTAGATGATTCAGTGCAGGGAAAAGAATTAACAATGTAGCATTTTAATGTAAACTCACAACTGTCCACTTAATTAATATGTACTATGAAATAAAATATACTAAACAGAACAAAAACCTCAAATGCACGCGTCGGATATGACATGAGTGGAAAACGGCAATTTCATAGGCAATTTCAAGCAGATATATGCATCGAAACGGCAATTTCATAGTTCTTTTTTGTAATTTTCCTAAACTTCTTTCATTCCTGCCGTATCTGCCTTCGTCGCAATGCAAACGTTGATCTTCTATCAAACTTACTTGTTCTTCTTTTAACAAAGGGCAAACAGCTAATCACTGGATTATCTCGATCAACATTTCAAAAGACGAACTGCCATCACGTCTCTCCACTTGTATCTTTGGTTTTGCCACCGCCACCGTTCAACTATAAGTTCCGTAAATACCAAACGTATTTCCAAGAGATTTTTATTCCGGAGACTTCAGAACGATCCATTTCACATTTTCGCCACTGTTATTTAAGTTTTTTTTTCAAACAAGAGCAAGAAGAAGTCCTTCGAAAACTGCAATGTCCACGTTATCAAGATTCAAACGTATAACTGAACACATTAACCCAAGTTAAACTGAATAATAAATGTTAAAGATGAAACGTGACACTGAAATACTTGTTATCAATTCCACCAGTCGTTCGAGCGACCGCCCATGTTGCCAGGATTACCACGTGGAGCATAGCCACCATAACCTCCATAGCCACCATAGTTTCCGCCACCTCCGTAAGGCGCACCGCCGCCATAGTTTCCGGCACCATAACCTTGACCATAGCCTTGCCCATAACCAGGGTTGCCCTGCATGTAACCGCCGCCACCACCACCGCCGCGGTTGGCTTGTTGACGATAATCACGCGAACCGAATGCGCTGTTACCGGTGCTGCGGAGAAAAGAGTGATGAAGATTATAAAATCAACCGAATTTGGAAAAATTATTCTACATCGGCTGAAGTGCAACTGATTTATCATCTGATTTTTTTGTCTACATTGCACGACTACATAATTATAATACGACCAAACGTTGCCTTTGGTAAGATTAACACCGTTTTGGTCAGTCCGGGTAGAAAAATATTTCCCTTCGGTCTCAAAGCACTAGGGGAAAATATTTTTCTCTATCTGGACCTCCAAGCCGGCGAATAATACGTATATATTGACAAAAGATCACTGATAATCCTTCAACCACAATGACAAGATATTTATAATTCACAGGCCTCTTTGGGTCAAACAATGACCATATTAGTGTGACCTTGATATTCGGATTACAGTGTGAACACATACCGTCGGTAGTTCTTGTTGCGAGAGCCGCCGCTGTGATACTCTCCTGCAATCGATTCCAACCAAGTGGGCACTTCTTGTTTTGCTTCAGTCAATATCTGCACAAGAACTTTGCTGATGTTCCTGTTGCGATCATTGAAGAATGAGGTCGCCAAACCTATATGTATATAAGCGGAAGGGGGGAGAAGTTTGAGTTTCACCGAAAAATGTATTGCATATGCCGCACCTATAAACAATGCTTGACCGCGCGGTTTCCCATTAAAGCGGAATTTTAGATCGAACGAAATTTTTCGTCTGATATTCTTTTCAATTGTGAGGATTCGACCGCAGCGGATTTCCTTCACCGGCAACAAAATTCCGCCTAGTGGAATACCACCTTAATGGGAATTTTTCGAACAAAAATTTCTTCGCATCATTTTCTTTCGTACGTTTCAATTCAACCGTAGCGGTCGAAACCCTTGACCCCCACAATTATTAAGAAAAAAAATATTTTTCGATCGATATAATTCTGGCTGGTGGAAAACCGGCGGAAGACGAACATAGAAAGTGTTACTTAAATCAAGCAATTTAGAAGAACTTATGCTTTAAGTTTGGCAACTGAAATCAGCAACGCATTGATTGGCGTACGAAGTCACAGGGGTTTAATTCTCGTTCTTGGTTTGCAAGTTATCCTGATCAGGCATTAATAGTTTGGTCGCAGGAGAGAACAAAATTAAGTGGATGAATAAATCTCTAAAAGAAAAAACTGTCCTATGTGAACTTCCATATGAAGGTATGGTATTAAAAAGGACGATGTGTAAACATTGTACCTGTGTTACCCACACGACCAGTACGACCAATACGATGGACATACTCTTCAATATCACTGGGCATGTCAAAGTTGATCACGTGCTTCACATGTGGTATATCCAAACCACGAGCAGCGACCTACAATACAAGAGTGGAGATCATGAAACTTTTTCATCATACAACTCACAGCAGAACATCTTTGACCATATTAAGTACAGGGGCTGGCTTTACTGTAGCTGATTAACTGTTATGCACACGCTGTTGTGCACTCCCCCGCTGACGAGAGTTCAGATAAAATGAATCTGGCGTTTTTTTCAAAATTGAAATTTTCGGTGGTTCCGACGGGCTTCGGAGAGTCGGCTTATATGCAGAGTATAATGATGCAACGTACATTAAGTCACTGTACTGAGTTTACTTACCGCAGTTGCCACGAGGATTGGGGTTCTGCCACTACGGAACGAATGCAACGAATCCTCGCGTTCTCTTTGGGAGCGATCGCCGTGAATGGAAGTTGCGGGATACTTTTCCCGGTACAAGAAATCTTCCAAGGCGTCTGCTCCTTTCTTGGTTTCCACAAAGACCAAAGTCAAAGACTCTGGACCTGGTTGAAGCAACGTTAAAAATTGCGATTAATGGATGATTTTACAGCCGATGGCTATAGAATACATTTTGGTCTGGGGGCGGAGCTCTAACAGTCGTAGAAGATTTTGTAACCGCAGCAAAACTAAAATTCCCGAGTACTAATATAGGAGCTGAAGGTTCGCGTGGGTCGCACCCTAGCTTTGTGAACATGCCCAAATTACTTTCTTTTGCAGTTTCTTATACTAACAACTGTGCCTAAAAACTCAAACTGAATTAACCTGCAGTGTCGTGAAAAATACCTGAAGCATTGAGTAAATCCAAAAGGAATGATCTCTTGTCGACATCATCAACCCAGACAATCTTTTGTGTGATATTTTCACTGGTGGAGCCAACGCGTCCGACGGCCAGGAAAATGTAGTTGCTTAAGAAATCGCGAGCAAGTATCTAATAACGTGCAAAAGAAAAGCAGTGTAACTAATATGATCATTGGCGATAACTTCATGTCCAATGTTAAAGTGGAAGATGTAACCATTTTAAGCTTCAAGAACATTTTAAAAATCGATGTGCTATGTGAAAACAGCACTGAAATATGTGGACCGTCACTACTCCACACTACGAAAATCATTGTCAAAATTGTTGATACAACTTGGCGAAGCATTAATTTTTTGTCGTTGTTTTTTACTTAAATTTAAAAATACCTCTTATTAAGATTTAACCTACATGTAAGTCACTTGAGACTTTGCGTCCTAACTTTTAACAAATACACTCAACATTATATACCTGTATTTCCTTCGGGAAGGTTGCACTGAACATGAGCGTTTGTCGATCACCAGTCTTTGGCATCGTATCTTGCTCCACAATTCGTCGAATCTGTGGCTCGAAACCCATGTCCAGCATTCGATCAGCCTCGTCCAACACTAGAAATCTGAAGAAGAGACACCAGACACCAGATCAGTCTGAGTAAAATTTAGTGGTTTCAGATTCAACGACCGTTTCCAACATGGTAAAAATTTCCATGCCTCATACAAAAGTACATATACAAATTTTGCAAACTTTGCAAGGCTATATTTTGCTGCAAATTTTTGCAATTTACTGACGATAGTCGTTTCTGGGAAGCCCATTCTGGGAATACACCTCTTTATACGTAAGACAAAGATTTAGTGAAATGATACAATTGTCCAGGTAAGCCGAATCATACGAGGTGAGCGGGCCCTGGGTTTCCCCAAGCGACTTTTGATAACGAACAGAGCAAATACACCTGAGCATAACATGGCGAAGTTAATTTTTTTCTCTTACTTGCAGACATCGAGACCGATTTTGCCGCGATCCAACATGTCCACAAGACGACCAGGAGTGGCAACGAGTAGGTGACAGCCACGGTCCAAGTCACGCATCTGCTGGCCAACGTCTGCACCGCCATACACTACTGATGGCCGTACGTGAGACCGGTAGGCAAACTGAAATAAGTGATTAAGCAGTTAGTCCTGTACACCTTTCTTAACCTGGCGTATGTGACACATACGGATTAACACATAGCTAGGTAAAACACGTCAGATTTCAAATTTCGACATCAGACAAAGGACGTTAATGTGGTATTGGCACTCGATTTAACTGGTCATAGTTGTCAATTGTAGACAACTATATACGTACTGTTTTTCTATCGTGCAAATGAGCCTTAACACATTTCAAACCAGGAATAAACCTTTGAACTAACGGGGGGAACAAGGTTAAAAAAGATGGAAATGGTGAACAATTATGTCAAGTCTTTGTGCACAAGTTCCTATAACAATGAACAAACTCCAGCCGAGTTCCCACGATCATGTCGTTCGACCATAGTTACATAAAACAAGCAGATAGGCCAGTTCTCTTTCATACCCGGTAAACTCTAAGGGAAACATTGTTGTGCAGAGCATTGTGTTTCCTTGTTCGCCCACTAGATAAAATCATTGTGGTGAAAACAAATTTGCTTCAGAAGAGCAGACATTCTTCTATTAAGTTATCAAAAGTGTTCAAACATTCGTATAATGAAAACATTCATACACAAGATAAACCGCCATGGACACTTTTCTTTTCACTCTTGTTCTCAATGTTTTAAATACAGTACCCAATATTTGCGATATTGTCTCTGCAAGAATGATTCTGCATGCAACCATAGTCGAATTCATATTAGAGACGGGAAACTCATCGAAGACGGGAGACTTGTCTGATATTTTCCGTTAAGACGGGAAAATTCCGAATTTTTCCGTGTTAACAGTCTTCCGTCTAAACAGACGGGTACGTTTGACGGGAATCCCGTCTGGGCGAAAAACGGGTTGTTTTGCAACAATATTTTGCCGCAATAGACTGCCTGAGCATGCTGTACAAAAGTATTACATTGCATGAACTCCAACCTTTTTAGCTTCATCCAGGATCTGAATGGCAAGCTCGCGAGTGGGAGCAAGAATAAGACCGATAGGGAACTGCTTTCTTCGGCCAAGATGTTTCATCTGAAAGAAAAAACCAAACTTTTTAATTTAAAACGAGGTTTCAAGGGAACGTGATTCCGAAACGCGACGCAAGTTTAAAAAATTCCAGTTGTCAGAAACCAACTGTAATGTACCCAGAGTACTTGTTGACTTGTTTGGTATCAACAGTTCTAAAATCCTGGGACGGGTAATTTCAAGATTCACGCACGCAGTAACCCGATGAGCCTAATTGAGGATTTCTTGAGGATAGGAACGAAACTAATTAAAAAAACCCCAAGAAATGTACAGGTACAGTGTGTTGAAATGTCTTCGTGCAATCGAAATCAACACTTTTATAAACTGTGAAGCCTTTTCCTTGATTTAATTGTACTAGAACTCTCGGCAATTTCCAAGGGTAAGCACCTTACGCAACTCAAGCTTGATTCCAAGGGGAGCACCCTGTACATATATATACGTAGGATTCGTATCGGGAGGAAATCAATGCAGGTTATCATTGTATACAGAAGCCTGTGCTCAAGCGTAATTTGGTCGGAATTTTCCCTGCATAGTAGCTACAATGAATCGTAACGACATACGTCTGGTGGAGCTGGCGGTCCTTCTTCAAATATTCTACTCAGAATTGGAATAAGAAACGCGGCAGTCTTGCCAGAGCCTAGGAGGAAAAACGAAGTTATTTAATTTTTACACGCTCCTCGAGGTATACCACGCTTTCCTAACGGATCAATGCGTAAATGCTATTGGTAATGAGGTGGAAACGATACCTGTCTGGGCACAGGCCATAAGATCACGCGAATTCTTGATGATCGGGATAGCATGCTTCTGCACCGGAGTTGGTTTGGAATAATGGCACAACTGGGATGAAAAAATATGCACTAAAATTAGCTATGACCCGTGCAGGGTAGAGAGCTTATGGCGGGCCGGGTAAGACACGACTGCGAGACGGGGTGACAACAGCAGGTTTGCATGTGTCTTAATCTAATCATAATAGCTTAATCTGGAAATCTTAATCTTATCGTGAAAACAGTCAAAAAAAAAGTTCCTCTAAATATTTCGCAGAAAAAACCCCAAGAAAGTATCGACTCGTGCTGCTTTTAAAATATCACGTAGTAAGGACTACGAAGTTTTCTCAAAATGCTGTAGTCAGATGAGGGACGAGTCTATGGCGTCAATATCACGAATAACACGTCAATATGACAAATCTTGTAGCGGTAGAGGTAGACATAATCAAATCTAAAAGTTGTTTTTTTTGGGGGGGGGGGGAAGACGTGGCTCGTGTCACGTTATATAGACACGCGGACGAGAAAGCATTATAGCCTCCCAACTAAAGACATACTGTAGCCTACATTAGGACGAATTTTAACATCCCACAGCTTGAAAAACGGGTACTTACACCAATGTTGTGCGTGATAACTTCCCCAAGATCTGCACAATCACCAAACTAAATGTGAAACAAACGATGCACTGGATTAAAATTGATGTTTGTCACTTGCGTGTGTTATTTACAGTCCCAACAAATGTTGTGAAAAATAAGTACTGTTAATTTCGAGACGATACAATGCACACTATCAAGAATTCGCAAGCTAAAAACTGAGACGGACGCAGAGTGCAGCAGGGGGGAAAGATGCTCTTTCATATCTTTCAAATTTTATATCTTAAGTGTTGAAATGCAACGAACGAGCCTCAAGAATAGCACATTTTAACAATAGTATAGTTTCTAGTCTTCAAACTTCGTAGGGGACCTCGTGTCCTATGTTTTTTCGCCTAATGTAGCTAGCTCATGTCCTATATCTATGCTAAATTCGAACAATAAATAATAAAATGTATGTAATGTACATGGTGAACTTACGTTATCAATATGAGCAGGGCATTTGTCACCGGTCGCTTCTACTGGGATATCCTCATATTTATCGAAGTTGATGCCGGTGTTGGATGCCGCAAACAGCTCTCTATAATACAAAAAAGTATCATTATCTGTGTGATCCAATAGCAAATATTAGCTGAATATCTAGGTCAGTCACACTTTCTTTCAAACTGACGTTTTTTTCAAACTGACCATAAACATGGGTAAAGTTTGTTAGCTGGCATACATCTCAAACAGATCTAAATTACCTTTCCAATCGGTCATTCCTCGGCAATAACTTTCCCCACTCTTCTGCGGGGGGAAGAGACGTCCAAGAATCTGCAAGTTAACACATTACAGTACACTTAAGTTTTGAGAAATTTGTGAACATTGAATCACGTGATTGTACGCAGTAGAAAGTTGCCTGCACAACATTCTGTAAAGCACACTGGGGTGAAATGGATCTCCAAAGTACCTTTGGGGGAGTCATAGTTCCTGTCTTTGAAGCCACCCCCACCACCACCACGTCGACCATACCCGCCACCATAACTGTTTCTATTTCCACCACTACCAAAGTTGTTGTAATGGTTGCCAGAGTAGCCACCTCCGTAACCACCACCACTATAACCACCATAACTATTGCCACCATAGCCGCCACCACGTTCATAGCTGGATGAACGGGAATAGCCTAAACGAAAGAATGTAAATATTCTAAACATTATGGGAATTTTTATTCAATAAGCAAAATTCTCTGTTTGACACATACATACAGTACAGTAAAACTTTAAGCGTAAGTTGGACAGGTTAAGAAGTAACAATTTTATCTCTGAAAACTCAATTTTCAAAGTTTGAGAGAAAGGAAGTTAGAACTTCTAATGTTTGAGCTGTTGGTCCAGGGATGTTAAGAAGTCTAGTGGCAATAAATGTCCAACTCTATAAAGTTTGAAAAAATTGTTCTTTTGCACTTTGTGAGAAAATTTCAATATCCTTAGACTGACTCTTCTGGCCACAAAAACCAGTTACCAAAATTATTAACTTTATAAATAACAAAATTATTATTTTAAAATTGTGAGGTGCAAGCCATCAATCAATAAACTGTGGTGAAAAGTAAACATGTTAAAAACTTCAATCATGTTGTAACATACCTCGGTTTCCACCTCTACCACCATGATAATTTTCCTGAAAAGAATCTGCTGAACGTTGATTGCTTCCACCTCCTCCACGGAGATGAGGAGGGATGTAAGCTGTGAAAAAAATATAATTGAATGTCATGTGAAATAGCCGGGTTCATATTATGTAGTAGAGAGATGTTTATTGCAGGCCTGACTTGCATTAGATGAAAAGGCTTAGTTGCTTATTGCTTGGATAGAAAAGTTTTATAAAATAAATGTTTTTTACCAAATTATAAAAACAAGTCTTACTACCAATATGCAATTTTAAATACAGCAAACCATTAGAAGTCCAAATCCACAAATAATTTTTTCATGAGAGTGGTGCAGATTATAAGAATATTTTGTGCAAAACATGGCAATATAACATTTCATAGGCATTTTAAATGTCTTGTTACATAAATCTGTCGGAAAATTTTTATACAAGGCTAAAAACTGTGAGCCTACAGTTTATCAGCATGGAACAATGCTGTGCTGCCAATATTGTTCACACATCAGGTGTAACAATATTGTTCGCTGTTGATAACAACTCTGAACAATGTGTGCAGCACAACATTGTTCCATCCCGTTCATATCAATATTGCATCAACTGTTTTTAGGTGTGTAGTCTAAAATGATTAAGTACATGCACTTTGCATGCTGTTTTTGAATTAATACACGGTATATTATACAGATGAAAAAACACAGATGAAAAGAGGAGTGCAATTACATTTGAAACTATGCAATCATCCATAATTGTTGAAATGCTATAAATTCTAATGAAGTTCTTCTAATAGTTTGTAAAAAAACTATTTTTTGACTTCTTAGTTATAACATTTTGACATTATAACTACACGTGTAACTACAACATAATATTTCAAATATATAACTACAAGTACTGGTCATTGAAATTACAAATCACACAATAGCAGAGTTTCTTTCACAAAAAAAATGAAAATAGACTTAAGTGGAGCATGTGGCAATAAATGTCGGCTGAAAAAGGCACACCTTGAAGCAGCATGTGTTCGGGCTACTTCTACCAAATCTGGATAGTTATAACTGTCAGATAGGGATTCAAAATTTCCCAAGATTTGGTACAACCCCTGATTACAAGTTAATATTTGTCAGGTTCTTCTAATAAAGTCAGGTTCTTCTTCAGTAATTCTCAAGTCTAAATCTATAATTTTATGGTTGTCAAACATTATCACATGGTTGATAAAAATACATCTAAATGTGATGGACAATGTTATCTCTACTTTGTACACCTTGCCTTTGTTGGCTAGCAAGGGGAAAATCTTAAAATAAGTTGATAGGCTTTCTATGAAGATTACAAGCAGGGAACCAGCACATGTTGTCAAGGACTGATACAATTCATTTCATCACAAAACTAAGTATAAGAATTACTGACTATGTTGTATTAAAATATATAGCTGTTGATGCTCAAAACATTTCAGGCTTTAATAAAAACACTCAAGAGATAAGCCCTGGCCATGTTGCAACACCATAAATGGCTAAATGAAAAACAATGAATACTATAAACGATTTTCTATTACATAAACGGTGCTCGTATAAATTTAGTTATGTAAAGGAATTCTACAAAACCGCTTTCTATGAGATTTCACCATTTTTTGTCGTCTAGATTATAGTCTCTCTACGCTTGATACAACAGGCAACACACTTAGAAGACATTCCAAGCAAAAAACTACCGATAAAACTACACAATAACTTACTGTTTTGTGGTGACTTTTGTGTGCCAGGGGTCCGGCTTTGCGGATCTCCGGCGTTCAAGTCTAGGCCAGCAAACTGTAAAATCGAGACGATGAAACATGAATATGAAACGTAAAATTTTCAAGGTATTGATAAATAGGGCGGCAGGCAACTCCAAACAGCCAGCTAGCTAACAGGGGGATATCTATAGCAGTCTATCAGTGAATTTTAACGATGACAAGGCTGTTTTATAGCACTGTATTCAATGGGGCAATTCTGCCAGCGAACGACGAGAATCGCGTTCATAGTTGGCCGACAAGATACTTACTTGCTGATCTAGACTTCGGTTAGAATCTGGGGCACCATGACTCATAACGGTAGAGATAATATTGTGAGAAAATTCAACTGTCGCTCCTCGTTGTTTAAAACAAGTGAAATTGTGAAAAGTGAAAATTATTCACTGAGCCTTCGAGCTTCGCTGACGTCACCTGCTTGGCATGCGCCAAATTTTTGCTAAATCACTGACCTCAAAACTGTGGCATGATCACAGTTGGAGCCGGTAGTACTTTAGCCTTTAGGTTGTACTGTGGTTGTACGAAAGCCGGAAAAGATATTAATTGTTTTCAACCCTTTTAAGCATACTTAAAAAGCAATGAAATTACAAATTTGGAGCTGACGGTTATGAAAGAGTAGTTTCCCAGTAGCCCAATAGATTGTTCTCAGCAGATTTTTGGCACCTTTTCGAACAAGGATTAGAACGAAACCGATCAGTAGACTTTTAAACTTTAAAGTATTTTTTCACTGTATTACTATTTTATTATATTAGACACCTTTAGGAATTTTTAACGGCAACATTTCGGCGTTTTTGATGCACGATCTTCTTCGCTTCGGGGCCGTTAATTCAACTTAATTGCATTTGCGCGTGTGTGTTTCCGGTTGCGCTGATCATGTCAATTTAACGGAAAGGCGCTGTAGTTTCCGAGCGGACTCAGAGACTGTCAGACTTTAAATGTGGTCAGTAGTTTGTTAGTCTAAAATGAGTAAAATCGGTACGTCACACAGTACGTCCGTACTCCAAAAAACATCATCTTAAGAACACAAGAGTTGCCTACGATCCGAGACAACGAATTTTACGGCGGGTTTCTAAAGTCCTAAACTATAAAAGGGAAGTTATCACAGCTAACTTCTTGTCTTATTTTGTCAAATCGTGGTTTGATCGACTGACGACGTTGGATTGCGAGCCGCTCAACACGTCGATCTCTCGTCGCATTCAAATCAATTAGCTATAGGTTAGCCACAGTGGTTAAGCGCATCACGCATACATATAGGTTTAACGTTATGTTAATAATGAAGTCGGACTTTTTAGACATCCTTTTTCTTGTTATTTGGCGGAATGAAATTAAATAATACATGAATGCGCACCATACTCTAAAGAATATAGAACGATCCAGATAAGTATGTAAAAATCCATCTTTTCCAGGTCATGATAATAAAACAGAAGACTTTGTGTGACTTGTATCACAAAAAATAGTGATACATTGTATGTCTTATTTGCATATTATTATACAGCAGGCTGCTCCATTTACTGTTCGGAGTACTCCAGATTTCAGGAGCAGTAATGGAGTGGAACAGAACACTGTCACATGAAAGTTCGGAACTGTTCTGATTACCCCTACTTTAGGGGTAGCTAGAACACAACACGTGACAGTGACACGTACAATTTTTACGTGTTTAAAAGTGACGGTAACAAATGTGTTTAATCGTAATGTTGTGTTGGCCTTATTTTAAGACTTTATCTTCATCCATGGACATACATCTATTGTCAGGAATGTGATGGCTATAGTTGTGTGAGATTCGATTTGTACAAGTGTCTAAAAATGTCTTAAATAGACACGAAAATACATGAAATCATTATACTGTTTATTTTTTTGGGAACAATTATAAAACGCATAGTAGAACACATATGTAATAGACTGAAACTGTTCCAAAAAAATGTGTGCTTTCCATTACACACACTTCTCGCAGAGTGTTTTAAATTATCAAGAACAGTAAATGGCGCACCCTCAGGGGAGTAAAAAAAGTGATGCCTTTTATATTCAAATGAGCCGCGAACTTATGACAGGCCTATTGTGACAATTCCAAGTGATAACCTTCAACATGACACGTGTGCTATAAAAACAATTTGATAAATGGTTTATTATTATTTACAGAGATTATAATAAAAAATGTTCACAAGCTATACCCCATGTCCTTCAACGTGACCACCGTTTCTTTCAGCACAAAGAGTTGTTAAAAATAATTTCCAAAGAGAGCACAATTTACGTTTTGGATTAATTAATGTTCACTTATTTGACATGCTTCGTATACTCGGTATACCCATGGGTTATTTAGGCAACTTCTGCTTAATTATGTGCCTAATTTGAATTTGAAAGGAATCAGCTTTTTTTTAATAGCTCTGTAGTATTAAATATTGCTATTTACATAAATTCATATTATATATATAAATGCACAACTGTGCTAGAATCCAATCAGGTCCTCAATGGGTTTGTACTTCCAGGCATCGGTTTTAATGTAATCAAGTTCCTGCCGAAGTTTTTCTAATCTTTGCTGATGAGCTTCTGCAGATTAAAAGGAAAAAAGTGTTCAGTAAGAATGTTAGATGGTCAACTTCATTTTAGCTCAGTCTAAATCGGCTTTATGACCACTCTCTAGTATATATACAAATTGTAATGTTTTTTTACCAAATCGAAAACCAAGTTGTATACATAGTTTTGAGATACATACCTTGTTGAGATGATGAGAGTATTGTGTCCACCTGCATGTCAACTTGGAAACTGTTACATTTTTTAACCCATTGGTCTGGTGAAAAAGTAAAACAATATAGTAACTTGAGAAAAACCTGTAGGAGTGTCTCGACAGCTTATTAGTGATGCTTGTCTGATTTGTTGCTGGTCAGTCTTAGAGGGCTGTGGTTATGTTTTGCCTTCTGAGGATAAGTTCTTATGTACAGTTCTTACAAAATTGATGTTGTTGATCTATAAATGTCAGAAATATGTGCCTAATTAACAGTTGGTGACAGACTTACAAGTGCTAATTCCATGTCCTAACTTGGCAACCAGGGGCCGGTTGTTCAAAGCTAGATTATCGCTAACCCTGAGTTAGATTTTCATCATAGGCAGCCCAGTCAATTCTGGGACAGTATACTATCTTATGTATATAATTATCCTAGGATACCCGCATTGACTTTTCAAAACTTTACAAAATATGATTTCTATTGAACCAGAAAATACTCTAAAAATATTCAACTTTTACAAGTGATGAAAAAAATTGATGTAAAAATTTGTGTTAACCCTGAGTTAAGTTAAGTTAGTTAACCATGAATACCACATTGTCTATTATAGTATTATTGGTACCAGCAATATATAAATAAATAAGTATAAAAAATAACAACTATCTTGTATATCCAAATATTTGAGATATTAAACAAACGATATATTGTACAGAGATGGCGGCACGACAATAGATAATCTATTACGTTGATAAGGGCTTATCTTTTCAATCATCGCATCTTCATAATCAGGTTTATAATCTACCCACACTAGTTGAAATCCCTTTATTAAATCATACAGTTTTATTGCTACCTGATTCAGAATCCTTTGATGTGTTCGAGAAAGGCGAATTAAAAAGACTCTTTCGAGAGTTATACAATCTCGCATATCTAAATAACGTCGTTCTACTCTCGTTTCTTGTGTCGTTTTCTGGTCTCTGACTGCTTTCCCCTTCGGACGCCATTTTTATGTGGTTTGAACTTTGAAATTTGAATAGTTGCTATCAGTGGTATAAATTTTTCCTTACAGACAGGAATGTCGTTTAGGGAAGTTTTCTTGATCGAATTCAGAAATATAAATTAGGACTTATCTGGGACTTACCGGATTGCCCTGAGCACTTTTTAATCACTTTTTTCATTTTGGAGCACTATTTTGCACGTTGAGCAACTTTGAGCACTTTTTAGCAATTTCGACAGCATCTGAGCAACATTTCACATTTCAAAGGAGTTTCGAGCAACAAAAAGTTAGCGATTATAAAATTCGATTCGTACCTCGATTACTGATTGGGTCTAAAACTCCTAGACAGTAGACAGACTAACAAAATAATACCAACGCCTGCCTTCAAAAAGATTCACCTCAAAATCATTGAGTAGACTGTTACATGATGGGGGTATTTTCCCTTAGCTGAGGCCTGAGGGTTTGATTTTAAATGTTTTACCATTGAACAATGTTTTACCCAAAATCTTGCTATTATTGGTTAAAATAATATAATCTCTCTCATTGATCAGCATGAACGAGTGCAAGTGCGCATGAGTAAGCTTTTAGTATATCGGTTCCCATTTTTGGCCTGAATGTGGTAACAATTTCCGTTTGTAGTAAAAAGTAACAAATTTGCAAACTTTGCAAGGCTATTTTTTTCGTATCAGTTTACAATATTTCGCAACCAAACTTTACATTTCTACTAATTTCAGTATGCTCTTTTCAGCTGTGGTAATTTGATTGCATTGCCTTCCACTAGATAAAAAACTAGTCTATAATGCAAACGGTCTATTGTCGACATAAATAGAAATGATATGTTATGAAATCTTTTATCTTGTTATTTCTTGCATTTTGTTCTATTATATTCAAAAATACTGACTTTTGCGTATTTAGCATGAACGCTGAACGAATATCCAAACAGACCCTTTCGATAATTACGTCACAACATTATCGTTTTAAATTTGAAACCACCTTACATGAGATTGATTTCAAGTTTTGCTCTCACAAGCTATGTGAAAAGATGCAAAACATCGTTCTCAAACACATACATGAAAAATTTTTTTATTTTGAAAAATAAGTGTGGAATTAAGTCATTACTCTGGAAACAGGCTCCCGGTCATGGCCTAGTAGCCTCGACTTGGTGTTACCGCTTATCCCCACATTTATTGGTGAAAATGCAAAATTCTTTCTCATGCATGTGTTTAATTAAGAACGATGTTTTGCATCTTTGTACATAGCTTGTGAGAGCAAAACTTGAAATCAATCTCATTAAGATGGTTCTGACGTTGTTGTGACGGGATAATTTTGTAGGAATTCTAGGAGAACTGAGGAGTTTCTTGAGCATGAAGCGAGGCATTCTCAGATTTAGGTGTAAATAAGGCGCCATGTTTGAAAAATGCTGAGCAGTTGTCAGGAAGCGATAATATTCAACGTTTTAAACTCTTCACTCATATATCCATATTTGACATGGAGTTTAAATGAAAACAATGGCTCATTGGTATTCAAATTCATTCGTACAGTTCACTTTTGGTGTTGTGGCTGGCGCAGGGGCAATCGTTTTGGCTTCGAGAGGGCTAGGAATTTTACACGCATTTCCTGAACGAACTGCCGGCATCGGAAATGAAAGGGTTGGTTTTTCTCAAAGCGAAAGAGAAAACCGTGATAGTGTTCTTGACAGACTTTCGCCAACTATTCCTAACGATGACCCGGGATATAACTTATCTGATGGAATGTTGTTTTCCCCCCCGGATACCGAGGAGAATAATGGACTTGTAGACATGCTATTTCAAATTGCAAAGGACCAGGCACACAGGGACTGCCTTATCCACCGTGGTATTACGTGCAACATTTGCAATGCAAGTCCAGTTTGTGGAACTCGTTATAAATGTGCTAACTGCCTTGATTATGATGTCTGTGAGGTCTGTGAAACGAATGATCATCACAATAGAACTCACGTTTTCTTAAAAATTAAATACCCAATACCACCACTGGCAAATCCAAAGGCAGTATGTCTGAAGCCCTTTTATACTGGTATGTGTTTGGGCCACATAAAAAGGTGTTTGTTTTGTGGGGTGTTAACTAATCCAATAGTAATTAAATAACAATTGGTGTATAATTGTATAAACAGACTTATTATTAACTTCCAGATGCCCCTTGACCGACACATAATTTTCACTCTTGACAAGTAAACCAATTATCATCTGGAATTCAACAGTTGAAGTTGCATCCTAGGTGATAATTAATTTACTTGAGAGTTAAAAATTATAGCTACTTGTAGTTGATGCATTGCATTTCAGCTAACATGATTGATATAAAAATTGTCTCATTTTTGATATTATTTTGTATCACCAAATCTGTCTAGTTAGAGTGAGCTTTTTGACACTTAATTTGGAATTTTTTGGATGTTTATTTAAACATGACATATATACAGTGGCGTAGCCAGCCTGACAATTTAGTCATGCTATGCAAATTTTATGTTATAATTCTTCATTTCTTTAGAAATTCATTGTTTTCACAGTCAATGAACACCAAAATATTAACATAGCATAAATAAATTGTCGGACTGGCTATGCCACTGTATATATACTCAAAATCACCAATTAGCATTAACTACACTTAACACTGCACCACTCAAAGCATCACATAACCCTGTCTCAAATACCTTTTTCTTGTATGTTGGATGCATTATAGATTATCTGAGGTCTGTTCTGTGCATATTCTCTGCTCACAGCAAATGAGCAACATTCCAGGTGTTTTGTTTTTGCGATTATATATTTCAAGTGCCAGTTTGGAATGTTGCTAATGAGCAGAGAAAAAGTGCAGAATAGAGTTTACATCATCTATAATTTGTTATATATTGTTTTGACAAATGCGTTCAGCACACGAAAAGCATCAGCTTTGAAACAAGTGAAACTTAACTTTCAGGCACAAATTTGGACCACGTGGCACTGTGTTGGGATGATATAAATTGTCTTAAAGACAAGACTCATTTTGATGAAACTGAAATTCAGACCCTACACGAACAATTTAAGACTTTGGCACCTCAGGAGCAAGGAATCTCAAGAGAGGCGTTCAACCTCAGTTTGGGACCTCTTGGCCGGCAAAGCAACCTGGTTATGGACAGAATGTTTTCTTTCTACGATCAAAACGGAGACGGTGTCATTTCGTTCGAAGAGTTCATCTCAGCTCTTTCAGTTTTGGTGAAGGGCAGCAAAGATGAAAAACTACGGTTTGTTTTCGAAGGTTACGACCTGGAGAAGAAGGGTTACCTTGTGTACAAAGACTTTCACGACATGTTCAAAGCGTATTTCAACGTGAGCATAGAACTGGTCAGGGATTACATAAAGACGCGGGAAGAAGAGATGAAGGCCGCGTTCGATGAGACCGCAGATAAGCCAGTCTCATCTGTATTTCATGCTCCAATTCCCAACGACGTTGGCGGCGCATCTGGTGGGGATATCAAATCCGTGCAGCAGCCACGCTCCGGAGCGGGCGGGAGCGGCGGTGCCAGACCCTTGATGGAGGCCATGTCACAGGACGCCATTGACGAGATGGTCGCGAATGTTTTCAAATGTGCCGACTTGGACCGTGATGGAAAGATCACATTTGACGAGTTCAAAACGTGGGCCGTTTTAGATAATACCGTGTTGGCTTGGTTCGATGCTCTTGGAACTGTCTTTTAGTTTTTTTTTTAACATTCCCTATTGCCTTATCAATAGCGACTTTGTAAACGATAGGATCTGAACTGTAGATTCATAATTTTTCAGTAATAATTTTTCAATAACTGCAGTCAGGCGCTACAAACACGATTTCTCGTTGTCTGTTTATATGATCCCGCTTAGCCGAGATTAGCCCCAAGGCCACAGTTACCGCGGATACCGAATTATGTACTTTTGTGCCGGACCGTTCCAGTGAACTCTACAACTGAAAGGATAAACTCATCCTGAGGTATATAGTGATATTGAAGCCAGTACGTTTTAGTTTTACGCTGAAAGCTGAACGGTTTGCTTTAGATGAAACTGAAACTATTAGGGAAACCTCATTATACCAAATAAAGATTTCAACGCTTTAGTTTAGCTGGCATGGGGTGATCGGGAAATTTGTTTTAAACAAAACGAAAGCAATTGCCTATATTGGTCCGTATATACAGTTACAGTGTAATCTTCCCTTTGAATCGCAATTGTTCATTATTTTATTTTGCGACGTCTTAATTAAAAATAATAATGTTAGCTCCATGAAGATATAGCTGTGTTTTTCATTTCATTTCATTTCATTTCATGTATTTTTTTATTTTGTTCATTTCGTTCCATATTTGCCTTAGAGTTCACTGGTGTTCATACTTTTTCACAAGTGATCCATCAAAGAGTTATGAAAGAAATTCTTAAATATCTAGGACTAGGACCACTTAATTACGTTATTTGAAGAAATGTGGGAGCTTTTAGCTAATGTTTCATGACGTACATATATGCTACAATACAATATAGAGACCTTTTAAAAGATTAACGTAAACGACAAAACGGAAACGGCAAGTTAACCCTACAGGTTGGTAAACCCTACAGCTTAAGCCCGTTTTCCATTAGGCGAATTTATTCGCGCGACGCAGAGCGATATTGGCCTTCGAAAAAGTAGAATCGCGAATAAATTCGCAAGTGGCGGATCTAGGCCTAGGGGTGAAAAAATGAAAATTAAAGGCCAGAAACTGACTTTCAAACACGAGATAACAATATGTAAAAATTTACTGGCTAACTTTTCGTTGTATTTTTTACAACAATTAATTAAACCTATTTATTCAAGGATGGGTTACATCAAACCGTCTAAAAATAATGTAACAACATTAAATAACATTAAAAAATACTACAAAAACTACATTAAAAAATAAATTAAGGGCACAACCAAACACTCTATTCATGCTTTAATAGACATCTTACCATGACGTTTTGCAACATTTAATAACTAAACCAAGAGTAGCATATGCTAGCAAATATCATTTTGCAATCACTGCCGGAGGCGTGAATGGCCACGCTGACATTTTGCTATGGTTTTCGTGCCTATGCCACCACGGTTAACAATAATTATCGCCCATGGTCTTCTAGTAATGTTATGGAACGGTATGATAAAATTAATAAGGTCTATTGATTTAAATTTTATATAATTCATTATGCAATCATTTGTGAGTGGATTTGCAGTTTAATATTTGTAGACTATATATTTATATATAAACCGAAAGTTATGCACATGCATATTTGCAATGCCAGATCAGATTCCAATTAACAGAAGGCTTATAAAAAAAAACATTGTGTCCGGGGCTTTTTCACGAGCCCAGTTACGGGGGGTTCAACGAAGCAAATCCTTATAAACAGCCTCTGAAGGCCGCATTATACGATGCAATTTCTCCTGCAACTTGCAATCCAATTCAACTTTTCAGAGATGAAAATCTGACAGCTACAAAACTTTTGTGCTACACTCCCGGGATGTTTTCTCATACATATACATTTCGAAAACTCTCCACTAATTTACATCTCTCTAAAGTAGAATGCAAGTTGCAAGAAAAATTGCTCGTGTAACACGGCCTTCACTCAGAGCAGCACCCAATCATGATCCGAACACATTCGGGCGACCCTGCCCTCCAACTGACGAATCTCCTCTCTTGAAACTTGGGCTTGTTCCTGTCCGCTTCCGCAAGCGATAGTGCTCAGCAAGTTCACGAATGCCTTTTTATTCGGGACTATCTCCTTAACACCCTTACACATTAGATTGGAGCCGCTTGTAAACAGCGTAAGAGCGAACGTCTTTGCGGCCAGCGAGAACCAAACAGCCAGCACGCCCTCGGCGAGTCCCGTAACCGTCGACAGCAGGAACACCAGGAGTGCTGCGCCCATGACAAACAAACCGATGCGCCCAGCACCTGTGCTACAAATCCGTCCTGCCACATGGAATATGCGCCATAACATGGCCAGAAAAGTTTCTTTATTCGTTATCCTCGACGCCAGCTGTTTCATGTTGCAAAGAAGTTTTCTTCCCTCCTCAGTTCCGACAAGCTCTTCCACGTATCGGCCGAGCCCTTCGACGACACGAAGTACATTTTCATTTGCTTTCAGTTTGCCAATTTTCATTATTCCTCTGATGAATTCACAAATCATCTTTGCCACATCTGTCTTTGCGAAACCCATATCGGCCGTAGTATCGCCACTTGTACTCCGTCTTGTGCTCCCACTGGAAGCCATAGTACCGGCTATAGCGTTCAATGGCAGATTGCAATTGCAATTAATTAGGATACATGAGCATATAACTTAGCGTGTTTGTATGTTTTGCAGACATATATGACAGCATACAGTATCAGAAATGAGCAAAATTTTAGTGATTGCGAAACTGAATTTCGGATTCGTGAGGATTGCTTACGCGAGACTTTCGATTTCGGATAATTTCAAATATAGCACTCCACGTAGTTGCATTCATACTTGCCATGTTTGATAATATCGTGATGTATGAAAGGTTATAGGAAGATGGAGTAACTGAGGTGTTATAATCAAAGAAAAATCGACAACAATATCTAGCCTCTAGGTGATTTTGGGCTCATATTTTAGTTAATCAGCACTCAAAAAGATTGTCGAAATAGAAATCCAAATCTATATTCAGTATAAGAACTGTAGTTCTAATGCACTTTAAAACCGAAATACAACACATTTTAAAAATATTACGTTGCCTCAAACGTAAAATGGCTTTTCTTCTCACCATTTTAGATCACCTGGATTGGCTGAACATTGTCAGAGGACGCAGCTCGCCCGTTTTGTGCCATCGGATTAATTTGAGTATATTGAAAAGTAAATAAATCACATATGTGTCAATGTAATTTCATCAATTAGCGGTCGCTTTGTTCAAATAAACCATTTGCTGTTGGGCTGCTGGTGGTTATGCTAAACGATTTTGAAGTCGTGTAAATTTTTCGCGAGTAAACAGTCCCCGCGAAAGCTCCGGGCCAGTGAGAAGCCATTAAACTACATTTAAGAAAAGTATATTTTCTCATTAGAAATTCAAATTTACTACCACTAGGTCTCTTCGGCTGCGAAGTGCAACCTCAAATGTACTAAAGCCTTTTTAGTTATTGCATGCTCGTTCCTTTCCTTCTCAAGGCAAGCCTCGCTTGTTTCCAACCTTTCAAGAAGATCGGTGATTTCCTTTTCATGGAGTGATCGTAGAGCAACATTTTGATTCTCTAAAAGTCTCCTCTCCAAGGCTTTTTGCTTTTCTAATTCCAACTGCAAAACCTTGTTTTGTTTCCCAACTTTCTCCAATTCGTGTTTGATTCTCGCCAGTTCAAGTTCTGCTGACTTTCTGTCCTCGATGGCCTTCTCCATTCGATCCTGACAAATCTCAAAGTTTTCTTGCGAGCTCTTCGCATCTTCTTTGAAAGCCTTGCAAGCTATTTTCATCGCTTTGTTCTGCTTTCTAACATCGCTATACTTCCTGTTCAATTTCATAATTTCGCTTGCTTGTTCTTCGCATGTTTTTCTCAAGCGCTCGCAGTCTTTTTGCAACGCTTGTGCGAGGACGCTCAAGCGAATATTGTGCAATTTCGAACGTTTTAAAAACTTACGAAGAATCTTTAGTTCGTCGGCGTTCCATATGCACTTATCCTGGATGTCCTCAGAACCGTTTTCTTCTTCGTTATGATCTCGATTTGCTTCTGTAAAATTACCCTAAAAAATCCAAAATTTGCTTTGTCAGCGTGTTTCCCCCTGGTCGTGTTAAACTAAATTGGTATATATGGCTACTAGGGACGAGGCAAGATTAGATAAACCAAATTGGGAGAGGTGAAAAAAGGTGCAGTTGTTATATATAGGCTGTCAATATACTATATTTTCAATATCAAAAGAGCATTATTGATCAGCATCTGTGCAACTCGATTGCAAGAACTTTAGCAACTCTGGGGGAGGAGAGAGATTCTTGGGGAGATGTGAATATTTCCAAGATGAATGCAAAACAATTCCAGAGCAAGTGTGGAACACCCTATGCTCTCTGAAGGGTCTATCGTTAAGCCAAGGGGCACAAAAATGTCTTGTGGTGAACTTTCAAAGTAAGTCACCTTTTCTTGTGCTCTGTTTTCCACAACATTTGTACATTTACTGTACTTAAAAGCATGGTATATGGTATGGCAAGTCCAGTAGGCAGTAGCTTCATATGTATAGACTCTAGAGCAAACAATTGGTATGTATACACTAGAGCAAATATGCTTTTATTTCAGCGCTGTTGAAATCACCATCTATTACACAAATTACCATGTATGTTAACTTTGTGTCTGAGCCGGTACATAAAACATAAATATACATTCATTGAGAGACTATAATTGGTGAAAACAACCAATTGGCGTTTTTATACAACCTCCTGTCCTCCAGAAGCATCTTCTTGTGAATCGTGTCTGTGTTCTGATTTGTCCTTCTCCTTACTAGTCGAGAGTATTTCTTCAAAAACCTTTTCGTATACCTCCTGAAAACTCTCGTTTAACCGAGCACGGGTTGGCCTTGTTCCATCATCGCGAAAGAAGTCGTTTACTTTAAATTTCGGAGGAAATAACTCTTCAATCCAAGCCGCCATATTTACAACGGCGAAACAGCAACACTCAGTGTTACATGAAGTATTGTCTACAGCCTACTACCGAATTATTTTTAGATTTGATGCCATAAAATTGGTGTTAAAAATACGCTTTTGATTTCTTTTCGAAGTTCTACTCCATAAAAAATGTGTGATTTAAAAGATGTTCAAGGGTTAGATTATTTTTGAGGTAGTGTATTAAGCCCCGCCCAACTGCCCACTCGAATAATTCTGGTAGTATTTTAATTTTAAAAATTTAATATTCACATGTCACTCAAAGCACATGTACCTAAGAACGCTAGTTAGAGACACAGCAAACAAGACATGAAAAGTTTCATGAAAAGTTCTCGAAATTTCAGGTTGGTCGATATCGAATATATTCCTACCTAATTTAATAGGATCACCGTGTTTCCCATGTTGACATTTACACCGGTAAATCGGTTGGGGCAGAGAAAAAAAGCTTTTGAAGGCGATCAGGAAGAATATGACAGCTGCAGTTTATGGAATTATTCATGTGTCCGTCTAGTCAACTTAGTTCTTTGTATCGTATATATCGCACAGCTCTTTCTAATTTGTATTGTATATTTGCCTTATTTGCTTTACGACATCTGCCTTAATTACATCTGGTACATTGGGTATATATTTTGTTTATATTATAAAAGCCTTCGTCGAAACAAATGGGAAAAGGAAAAGCCTTTGAGTGCAGGAAATCAGGAATGATTCCAGCCACTGAGCCACAATAAATGCAATTGATTTAGTCTACACTTTCGAGCTATGAGCAATGAAACTAAATGTTAGATAATCGTATTCTAATTTAACATTAGGCATTTCTAAGTTACAATTACAAGCCTGACTGTGACTGCAACCCCTCTGGCTAAGATATCCTTGGTGTAAATGTGCATTGGTCCCAGCAATGTAGGTGCTAATGAAAGTAAATTTATCAACTGAATTTAATGCTTGGCTGATATAAATATTTCGACCAACCAAATTGGTAAGGAGGGCACATGGGATGATGGAAAGCAATGTACAAGTTTGCAGTAATTGCTCTGTTCATTCAATTTATCAGTATGCATATTTGATCCTGCATGGCCTAAAAATTTTTATTTTATTATCTAATGGCATGGCACTGTTAAAAATGTACCTTGAATTGTTTTATGTTGAAGCATGCAGTCTCAGCATTACAGTTAGCTAATATAGTTCATGGTAGATGTTTCGCATGTTTTCTGAATAACCACATCATTAATCTCTAATAGTGACTATATATAGGCCAGTTTTGCTGGCAGCAGCCAAATGTTCCAAGGATATACCTGGCTCTAAGTTGAAATGTTACTGTTTTCTGGCTATAATTCCATTTCACATTGCGATGGGTGATGGAAATATTATATACTTGTTTTGTTATCTCGACAAACCATATACAAACAATGCATCCAATTAATAGTGTCATGTCTCTGAGGTGGAAAAAGAAGGCATGACAATTATGGATATTATATAATTATATAGACAGCCAGTGCTTGAGAATACCTGATAGACTGGATAAAACCAATGTTTATAAGGCCTGATTGACAAAATTTCAATACTTGGCTCACCAAGCAGGGCTTTAAAATTGTGCAAAACTGTACTGCACCTATAACCTATTACTCAGAGACATACCAAATTTTGCAAAATACAAAAGGCAGGTTTCTGCCAACTTCTCCGTTCTAGATACATATCTGCTGCACGCCTTCTTTAGCACATGTTCGTTTTCGGTCGATTGAGCCGCTGGCATTTATTTTCTTACATCCTCTTCCCTCTATAAACAGACGGGGCGGGGCACCCCCCAGATTGTGCACATTTGTTAATAAACAAGAGGCCTGCTCAGGCATGCACTCGGGCTACCGTTACCTCGCTTGAGCTTGTAACACCTAATTTTTGACACCTGCGCGAGAAACGATCCTAGGACGATTTCGATTCCTTCGAAGACTTCGTGCCGCCCACGCGAAATTTTCGTAAACTCGCGACGCAAAAGGAAAAACCGGGCACTATTTTCAACTCGCTCTAATGGGCGATTTATACCTGCAGGTCGGGCAATTTTTACCAAAATCCTCGAATGATCAAACAGTTAATTTGTACTCGAGAGTAGAGAAATTGTATCTGATATCATTTGTGATTTGTTCCCCCCTCAAATGATTGAACACGTACGTCTTTCTTTTGCCTATCTACCAGGGATGATGCTCGATTCCGTATCGGAAATCAACGAAACGTGCCTTACTTTTTTAATTCCTTTTAGATTTTTAGTGTGCTACCCATTATCGCGTTTGCAATACATTTGGAGAATTTAGATTGTCCGAGCAAATGCCATCGTCGTTTTTAGCCGTGTTGTCTTGCTTCTGCACATGGACAATTTCCTATAATTTTCTCTGCGTCTATAATAACAGACGCAGTCGAGAATGGAACTGTCGCTTGGTAACTGTTTTCCACGGTCTGCTTAGCTGCGTCATTTCGCTGTGCTGTGCGTTCTACACCGGACCGTGGCCGTTCGACGCCCTGGGGGAGCCGAGCACCCCCTTGCAGACCCTTTGCATTACCATAACCCTCGGGTACTTTTTATTCGATTTTATCTGGTGCGTTTTGATGGGAAGCGAAGGGATTGACATGTTGCTACATCACGTGACGTCGATATGTGGCCTGGCCCTCTCTCTCTATCTCGAGGAGTCTGGTGCCGAGCTCATCGCAACCATATTTGGCTCGGAGATCTCAAATCCCTGCCTGCAGGTCAGGTGGTTCCTCCGGGAAACGGGCAAATACGACACACCGCTTGCTAAACTTAACGACGTTATTTTTATTCTGCTTTTCCTGTGCATTCGCATCGGACTTGGGGCCTGGTTATTTATGGAAACGATGGCCTCTTCGAAGACATCTGGACTTATGAAACTTGGAGGTGTCGCCCTGTATTCGCTTAGTCTCGTGTGGATGGTGTTGATTTTACGTTTTGCGAGAAAACGATTTTTTGCCAAGAAAAGAAAACAGAAGTGATGTTGCTCACTTTTACTATTAGGATCCCATTTCGTACACATATAGTCCAGTTTAGGTAGGAATTAAAATTTGTCGCTATAATGCCTTCAAAAACGAAGATTTGTAATTTTTATGAAATGAATAAGTCTATAAAAATGTTAAAAAATTATAATCTTTTCAAAACCTGTTTCAAATTTGAGATTACTCGACGTGCTCGTATATTTAACAATAGATCTTCGTTCGAGTTTCGTGAAAGTATAAGCCGGCTTTCCGATTGGAACATGTCAATGTGGCTGACGTAATAGAATATTTCATGTTTCTGAGCATGTTTCGTCAACAATGATCAGTAAACTTACAATGACTGATTTGAATATAGAAAACTATAGACAACTGCACTAAATTTACAACTGCACTATTTTTGATCGGTGGCAATGCCTTGTTGCATGACGAGCCAATAAAGACAAAATGGGAACCAGGCTATAAAAAATTCGCGCGCCATACGGTCACATCATTCGTGTAAGATAGAAGACATCAAGTCATCATTTTATTTTTCAGTAGTTCATTACGTAAACTAGACTATTTCTATTAACTTTGGAAATCACTATTTTATTTCAAACACTGCCAGTTTCTATATATAGGTTCAGGAAACCATGATGGCTTTGGCAGTTTATCGTGACTAGCTTTCAAGCCTGGTTCTCATAAATGATATAAATCACCGACCGGTGACCTCTGGCTCTGACAAAGGGAATCCCAATTCTAGATTCTTACGATCCCTCACTGATGGATTTTCGATGTAAATGTAGCATTAAGTAGCAAATATCAAACTTGTGTTTATTCTCTTCCTGGCAATCCACGGAAATTTTCGTGTGCATACATTTCGAAAACTCTTCACTTATTTACATCTTAAACAGAATTGCATTGCAAGCTGCAAAAAAATTGCATCGTGTAACACGGCTTTTAAATGTACAAGAGGTGGCGCTTGAGGGGGAACTGGGAGCGTGCAACTATCATATCGGGTGACTCTAGCCCCCAACTAGGAAGGATATAATAGATTTGTCGGAAAAATAAGGAATTCTGAAAAGCATAATCCAGTCGCCATTCTTCACAAAAAACCACCTCCCCCCTACCCTTACACTAAAAACAAAGCTTTCTCACATATTGCCACTGTTCAACGACAACGGGTATTCTTTCATCTGCATTTTCACTTTCGTTTTACCATGTTAAAACGCTTAGCTTGGTTCTAAATACCAATTAACATCGTCATATTATACTAAAATAAAGAGGAAACAATCCGACATTAAGCGATTTCTTTCATGTACCCGTCAATTTTTAAAATGACCTGTATTTTGTTTTACTTATAAGTACGTGCGTTTATTTCTTTAAATATCTTTAATTATGTTGTTCACCTGTTCCCCGCGTATTCCACCTGTCGTAAATGGACTTTCTGATTGGCTTGCTATAGCCCGCATGCTGACATCGGTTGGGGCAACGAAGTATTGCCATGGCACTTTACTGTTGACATAATTCGAAAAATAAACATTTCAGGTTTAGTTATTAAATAGCAAGTTCAGCCAAACACAGGTATAATAAAGTTTCGACGACGGGCTTTGAGTGAAAACAAAACAGGTCGCTCTGTTTGTAATAAATATTAGACCGTATATATATACATCGTGCTGTCCTAACGTTGTCTTTACCAAAAAGTGTTGATGGAAAGTAGGTCTAGATAAGAAGTAATAAAAATACAGGTCTGAAGAAGCGTGGCGGAAGCAAACTGATAGCTGGGCAAATAGAATCGAAAATGAATGAATCGAAAATGACGAAGAAAAGGCGAGTGTCAAGAATAAGAAGACTGGAAATTCAAGAGGCAAAGCTAAGACGCGAACTGAAAGGCACGCTCAAGGACATAAGCAAGGACACGAAGTCAAAGAAGGGTGGTGAGGAAGGACACCTAGATGGAGTGGAACGCCAAAAACTTGCCAACCGCTCCGTGGATATTCGCTCAAAACTTCTCCGATTACAAGACGAAATCGGTACGCGCGAGGTGATCAAGCAGGACAAAATCACCAAGGATGTAAGGACGAGAATTCAAGAAAGCTATTCGACGGCCGCAAGGAAACACAGCAAGTTGCTATGGACAACAATCAACTTGGAGCGTATGAAAGAGGACGAGAATGCGATTCGGGCAATCGCAGGTGCCGATGCCGGATTGGAAACTCGAAAACGCAAGGTAACGTCGCCCGTTGAGAGGTACGTCCTCGACAGACGTGAGATATCATCGGCTACGAGCAGAATATCCGCTTCAAGTATGAGGCACTCTACGGAGGATCTCGATTACAAGGCTCTGGATAGGAGGGAACACTTGGAGCACGTTCGAGAGTCCTTGTCCACGTTGGGATTGCACAGCACGCGAGATCAACTCCAGAAAGCCGACGGTTTGCAGAACAAGTACGACGCGACTCGCGAAATGAGAAACCTGACGCTTGGTCAGATGATCTCGAGATCGAATAAGAATTCCTACTGGAGAATCAATCCACCGTACAGGCGAAAACGTGGCAAGGTGGCGCACGTACGCAGGGCTTACGCCAAAGACTTCTACGAGAACAAGATTGATATGACGGAAGCGAGGGACAAGAATATCGTTACTCCTAGAACGGAGGTATTGAAGGATTTAAGGCAAAAAGAGGAGGATGAACTCGGACGATTTACGATGAGTTCAGGACGAACAATGTCGATGCGAAAAATGAAAGGTTTCACCCCTCCTGGAATGAAGTTATCACCGCTTGTCGAGGGCGTCGCACAGTAATGACGCATGTCGGCATGATACAACTTTTTTGTCCTAATTTTTGTCCATGTGGAAATTGGGAGAACATTGCATGTCAATCGTGTATAATACGAAAGTATATATAAATTTTTAAGGGAATGGAAAATGCCCGGTTTTATAGGCAAAAACAGACAATATTGACACGTATACCCGAGGACTGAAATGTTATTAACCCAATTCGAAATGAATTTCATTTGCCTTTTTTACGATGCTAAAAAACATACTTTCAAATTCTATTAAAATAAAGCCAGTATCGCTCATGCATATGTTTTGTCCTTATCCATTAGTCAAAGAGGCCAGCATAAAATTGGATGAAAACTCATGAGTTTGTCAAATAATATAAAAACTAACGTCAATTTTCCTATATACGGCGGGTAGCTTTCCACTATATCCATTTCAACGCTTTGTATGATACAAAATCGACCACAACACTCGGACCATTAACATCTGTGGAAATGCCATGTTAATGTTGACAATACGAAAATAATAATTAAAAAGTTTGACACCGCCGGATCACAAATTGGCACTTGTCAGCATTAAGGGGTGTCATGCACTCACACCCTCTTTGAAAGAGGGTGTCAAACATCGCAGAATCGTAATTGCATGCAACTACTCATGGGTTTACTGCACAGGACCAGAGTTGCGCTTTACGCGGCGTGAAAATAAAGGGAGGAGGGAATCGATAAATTTTGTCAGAAGTGCTCTGTTAGAGCTATTTTGAGCGTGGATATTTCGGCCACTAAAACAACCATGCATGCCAGAATTGAAAATTATCGTGTTATGTTACATAGCTAGTAACAAATTTTATTTCAAATCTATAACATGCGTGGTAAAATACTAAACGATTATTTAAAAAATAAAGAACTATAACGTTAAAACTTAGCAGAGTAAAACTTAGCTAAGTGGAATATCACATATATTACATATGCATAAATATACTAAAAACTATTTCAAGTTCGCTGGTAAAATTCCAGTAAAAATCCACACAAAGGGTAAAAATCGCATCACATAGAATGAAAAGTCTCATGCAACGACGAAATACAAAAAGAAACTTAAAAGAAATCGCCCTTTTTTGTCTTTGTTAAATGCATCTTCGCCTTAACTCGTCTTAAAAGTAACAACATGGTCTGATTTCATTATTCTATATCAGTGTTGTTGATTGCTATACCTGTGCAGGGTCTTCGCATTGAAATAGCTCAATCTTCATTTCCAATATCTTACATTTATGGTCCGTCACAAAGATCTCGCTTCTAATAGAATCCTTCTTCAACTCTCGAGCGATCTGAAATTTAAGGGTCGTGGTATAGTAATACCCCGCATGCGCAATCATAGGCATACGGAACCAAATCCCACGGGATAATATAAAAAAAGAAAAAAATTACCCGACTCACGCAAAAATCAACAAACTTATCACTAATTACGGCAAAAATTTCAAAATTTTGGTAGACCAAATTTCTTAGATTTAAATGTTTGGGGGGGAAGTTTCCACTCTACACCATCCCCCCCCCGGCCTTGTACGCCTATGTGTGTGCAATGGAGCATCTTTCTAGCCCGAGGACACGCGGTATGGGGAAAAACTGTTTCGCCCTTTCACATTCTTGAGCACCTTCTAAACTAGGTTCTGAATATAGTGCAGTCCCGTGGCCTCTATAATCATCGTCCCAAATGACGATGAATGAAGGGGGAAATTTTCCTCAATCTTTTTTACTCTGTAGTTATAGCATTATTTTCGTCTTCCTTTATACAATGAAGATAAATACAATAAAGATAATATCCTTAATTAATCCTTAATTGCCTCTCGTGTGAGCCTGGCCATTTAGCCTTGAACAATTACATAGAATGACTAAACTACTTGGGACCGCATTTACTTTCTCAGTTCTAGGCACGTTTTTTTGACGAAAATGGCGAATAATTTTACCTGATTCATGAGTGGGTTATCATCCACGGAATGAAACACCTCTTTCTCGTAGGCAAGTTCTCGTTCGCTTGATCTGGCTGCCTGCATTTCCTTTCTCTTCTCCAATAATATCTCGGCATCATGAATTTTTCGTTCCAATTCCAAGCTTAAAAAATAACGGTGGCGTTTGTTTATAAGTTTATTATTTATTCAAGTGTCCACGACACATCTTTTCCGTGAAGAATTTATATCAATATATTAGTGGAATATCTAAGTTTTAATAATCACTGCTTTCCCCTCGAATATTTTAAAGCAAAGACCTTTAAAGCAATGTTATCACGATACACGATAAACAATTATTTTCATGCTAAACCCGTTGTGATTCTCATGCACACATGCTTTCTCACCGCTATATAGATATTTACAAAAAGCAGGGATGAACAGGTGTAATCGTTGTGTACATCAAGATGTCATAGTGTTCAATGAATGGTATGAAACGAAACGAGGAGAGTCGTAAGTACACTGTCGTATAGTTTCTGCGAAGCTTAGGTTCGTAAACACGGGCCTTCATCAGCTTCGTGTAGAAGCAAATACACGCGTGGTTGTACCTACTACACGTGATGCGTTTTCCATATATATATATATAAATATAAACAATTTTTAAAAAACCTTTGTACTCACCCTCGTGGATGATGATCAAACAAACAAAGTGATCTTTTGGGTCTGCGTTGTGGGTACTTATCCAACGTTCGTTGTAAATTTTCAAGCTTTAAGACGTGTTCATTTAGTTGGTCCTAGTCAATCGACATAAAAACATGGATTGAGGCAAGGTACATACAATGCCATGCATAAGAATTGGAGCTTCCATACAATTATTGGTCCGTGAGAAAAAATGGATTTTTTTAGAATTAAAACAAGGCAACTTAAATGAGAAAATGCCTTGCGTTTTATGGTTGGAAAGAAAAGTACTATATGTAGCACGGTTAAATTTTCATTGTATAATAATGTTGCGATGAAACATCTTAAGGATTACTTTAGACTCGATTGTATAAAAATGTTTCTACTTAAACTGTATAAAAAGGTAGTTAAAGATAGTTAAGTATAGTTAGTGATGTAGTTAATGCACGGCGATGGAGGTTGACTGAAAAACCGCGACTTTTAACAAGTTTTACGACCGGCACTGGATGTCTAACCATGTACAACTAGAATTGGAATAAAAGGGTTCAAGCCACATCAAAATTTTACATTCACTTTAATTTCTTCTGAACAATTCTTAGTCCCTAAGTTATCCACACGTCGGAGATACATGACTGGCAGGAACGTGAAAAACATTGTTCAATATTCCAGTAAAATAAGCTTTATATAAATGAGGGTATACCTTCAATTTTATGGTTTCAATATCGTCACTAGGGCACCTGGAATCCAACAAGCTTCTTGATTCAGATGCCGGTTTCTCCACTGGAGATGTCGAACCAGCTTCACTGTTAAATCCAAAATCGAATTCTGACGAGCAAAACGATGGATTCCATTTCTCGTTTTCAGAGATGTGAACAATGGCATTGTCTTCTACCATAACGTTAGCTGTCTCCTCGCTCCAGGGTTTCTCTGTTCCATCTGCAGCAGAAGAATCACGAACCGAAGATTGCTCAGTATGTTTAATTCCATCTTGGGTACAAGCTGTTTCACTGTTGTCGTTGCCCTTCACTTTCAGACATTTTCTTTGCGACAAGAACGAAAATGAAGGTGCAAGACGCCGTCCACGAGAGGACCTGACTCCGTTTGCATTTCCAAAATTGTGATCGTTGCCGGAAAGACGTTCGATTTCAGTCCCTTTCTCGTTGTTGCTAGAGCAAAACTTATCAAAAAGTTTTTGCACCGAGGGAGTTAGATCTGATTTCTCAGTATGGCATCCATTACTCGACGCTGAAACTTTAGTATTGTTCACCGACTCACCAGATGTAAGTAGGTTTAATTGTATCGAAGATAACCGATCGTTTGGTGGTAGCAAACTCTTCGTAGTAGTAATATTTTCAGGGGTCTTGAAATTTTCTCGCGTGTCTACGTTTACAAAGCTTGAAGATTTTCCTGTTTCGTACAATCCTGTTGAGACTTGTAAGAATTTGGGTTGAGCCCTATGGGACAGCATTGTGCTACATAATTCGCTTGGGGACTTCTGCTGCCGTTCCAACATCGATTCAGCATTAGCCGCCAAAGAAATGGATTCCTTTTCGCTCTTACCTTCAAATTTCGTACAATTCTGTGAATTGAACGGTTGTGGTTGTTCAAGAAATGTCCTGTTGGTCGAAGTTAGTTCTTTCATCTCCTCAGTATTTTGCAGAGGGAAAAAACACTGTCTGTGTGAATCAATCATTTCAACATTACTGCTTGTTAAAGAGGGAGACTTCTCATTTTTTCCCGCCTCGTCAACAACATTTTTACAGCGCATCGAATTCTTGCCGGTAGGGTTTGGGAAATCTGGGGGAGGTAACGCTTGATTTCGCGAAATCGAAAGGTCCTCCACAGCTTCTATTCCCTGGGATGAACATTGATTCAGAGGGAAATCCCCCCTATTCGACAGGGGTGGAATATCACTCACGAAACGAAGCGGAGCGTCTTTGTTGTATGACAAATTCTTCGCTATCGAAGGTGGTTTATCAATTTTTGTAGCCATTTCTTGTTTCGGTGATGCGCTGCTCAGATTACTCAAGGGTGACGGGTAGTAAGAACAACCTGCGATGGAGCTCGGCTGATTCAACATGTCGAAAGTCGTACCACGTGGAGGAGTCGAGTTGTTTTCAGGAATATCTGTCATTTCCTGGAGATTGGTATTTTCCGACAAACACTTTTCTTCAGAAAACGTCGAAGTAATGTTACTCAAAGGAATTAGGTAGGAATTGCCACGCATTTCTCCGAGCGATGGTTTCAACTTGGACGAGGTGTTTATGTGTTGCTCGACATCGCTGGAACTCGCACTTAGGGTATAATTTGAGTCCAAAATTTTAGATCTACGAGGCAATACACTGTCTTCCCTTGAACTCAAAGCAACCAAGATATTATCCTGCAATGCATTATTTTCTCTTAAGCTTGATCTAGCTAACACATTTTCTTCGCCAGAATTTGAAGCAGACAGTGCGTTGTATTCTCTAAAACCCGACCCCGTCAATAGATTATCTTCTCCTGAACTTTCTTTCTCGCTTTCACAATCTAAAAGGCCACTCTTCATCAATAATGGCGTAGCTAGGTTAGGCAAAGTAAGAAGAGGTTTCGTACTGCAAGTTCTTGTAGATTTTGTAGGTTCATGTGTGATGGTTTCTTGCTTTTCCCTGACCTGATTTGTGATTGATGGGGGACCACCAGATTCAGGAGGCATGTTTCCACCAAGGGAAGAGTTCATGCAAGTTGTATTTTTTGCAGTGTCGAGTGGAGGTGATGGTAGTTGACTAGCTGTTTGACGGAATTGGCTGGCTGTTTGACGGAGTGGCATAGTTGTGTTTTGTTCCCCGAATTCATCTGTTAGTAGTAACTTAGTACGAGCATTTGGAAGATAGTCCTTGCCAACAGCGGCTGTATCTTTTGCAGATGATGCAAAAGATGGTAGATAGCTAGTTGTTTGAGAGCTGGCTGGATGGTTGTTTTGCAAGGTTTGCTGTTGCTTTGCTACCTTACCAAACGGAATTCCAGGCTGTTTTACCTCATCGATTTTAAGGCCACTTTCCAAGGAAACGTCATTCGACTCCACTTTGCCCATCTCAGCCACCGGTGCTGCGAGTGTCATTGGATAGTTAATCAATATCTTCAAAATAGCCTTAAAGTTCTCGAAAACTTCCTCCGGATTTTGATGACCTGGTTAAAAAAGAAAGAAATGTTGCAACAAGTTGTCTGAAGCTGCCCTCCCCCCTACACAAGACATTCTAAAACCTAGGCGAAAAAGGCAACAATACTTGAAAACAAGAGTGAATGATGAGCAAGCGCAACGCCAGTTCTGCTTACCAAAAATGGCCCACTAAGAGCTCGCATTCGAGTGTCCGGCTTCAATCGAGCAAGTCGGACTTCTTACCAATTTAAAGTTTGAGAATAGGTTAAGGTCATTTCGACCCTAAGACCTTAATTAATTCGCTTTACCTGATGACAAGATGTTGTGCTGTACCCAGTGAACAGTATTGTTAACAATGTTAAAGGGCGATGCCGATGGTTAGTAGTAAATGCTTATTAGGTTGATAGATTTGGTATATTTACTTTGATCTCTGACAGTAAAATTTTTACTGCCTTTTAATAGCTACAAAATTTGACCCACTCCGGAAGCAATCCGGTATAGTGTAAACCGGGCCTAAATATATACAGCTAGTATGGCGCAGCAAAAAACCCCAAAGAACAATAAACCGAATTTAAATTCAAAGTGTGTGTGTGTGTGTGTAGACAGTAACGTAGCCAGCCTGACGATTTGTCCCGCTATGCTGATATTTTGGTGTTTATTGACAGTGAAAACAATCAATTTCTAAGGAAATGAATAATTATAATAACTCGAAATGTACACAGTGGGACAAAATCGTCAGGCTGGCTACGCCACTGTGTATCATCGTCGATAGAATCAATTTTAGTATCATCACAAGTTCTGTTGATATTCAATACAGACACTCGAAGGCTAGTCTTAACTGTTTAGAAGCCAAATGACAATAACGACACAGGTTATTTCGCTTTGTAGTACAGCAGCGCTCGATATTCAGTCCTTAGAAACACGCTGTTTCAACTGATGTGATTTATGCGACTTGTGTCCATCCCCACACGGGAGAAGCGTAAACAAAAGAATCACGTGACCAGCCTTAACCAGGGTCTTCGAGGTTGCATGAAGTATCACCTTCCTTCATTCAACTGCTGACATATTATCGCAAGCGCTAATTCGTGCGGTGCAGTGTAATGTATTATGTATATGTAATGAAGGAAGGTGATACTTCATGTCGTTTTGAATAGATTGTATTTAATATTCAACTAAAAGCAAACCCAATAGCGGGCTACCTGTGATTGAACTATCAATAATACTGTTGCAACTTGTTGCAACAACCTGGCATCAACATGAATGTTTCAACAAGGTTCAACAACATTGTTAACAATACTTGTTCATGGGGTGTTCACTCCTGATGCAACAACCGGATGCATCAATAATACATACCAACTGTGGACAAATTACTGTTTAACCGACGAAAATTCGCTTTGAGTTTCTCTACCACTTGTTTTTCGTCTTTTTCCGAAGGCGATTGTCGATGAACTTTTGGATATTCTCTTTGCAGCAACGGCCTGTTGTCTGTGGAGAAGTTAAAAGCAAGAAAGAGGTTTATCAGGGGCGCGTATGATTTTTAAAACGTGCATGCGCGGCAAGCGTAAAAAATTGTCATTATCATCCATCATACTAGTAAGCAACATTTTACTTTGCATGCGAAGTCTATTGTTAAGGTACCTCGATAGGAATAAATCATGGGGAAAAGTTTTTTTTCTTTTAAAACGTTTGACAGCGTACAATTGTCCTTCATTTTAGGTCATTGCACAGCCACTACAAGACGTTTTTCCGATGTGGACAAAATAGAATCTTGTAGTGTCGACATATCTTATAGTGCTTTAGACAGCAATTATGTTCGCGATGCAGTGTTTTAATCGACTGGTTTGTAGCAATTATTTGAATTGAGACCGGAGAATAACTGTACTAGATAAAGAAAGATGGCGACCAAATAACTATAAGTTATCCCTTCAGTGTTTATAGAGTTTATTGCAACATGCTGATTCAATCAAACAGGAGCACTCGTAATGACCTAAAAACACCTACCTTCACTCGCAGAGTTATTCTGTAAATCACGCCTAGTGGACGCGGAGAACTCTACATTGATTTGTCTGTTTCCAATGACTTTCATGTTTTTTTGTTTCACAGCGTCCTCGGCTTCCTCCAAAGTTTGAAAACGCACAAAACTAAACAAAAAATCACCGTTTAAAACAACTAATAGAACAATGCAGAGTGAACTGTCGAAAACATTGCCATTATGCATTCCAATAATTAGCTCCCCAATCTCATTAAAGCTACTTTTTTAAGAAAAAAAATTGGCAAGAACTCTTCTCCCCCTCTTCATTACGTCGCCCTACCCCTCCTCAATATATGCAAAAAATGCGTGTTTGGTCGATGATCAGATATAGAAAATTTTTGGATTAAATGTTTATTACAAAAGTGAACAGTTAAATCAAATTAGAAGGGAAGTTAAATTGATAACAGCACTCGATTTATAATTACCCATAGGTGTAAGAGTGTCCATTCGATGGTGGGAAGACAAACGAATCAGCAACATCGCCAATGTCACTGAACAAATCTTCTAATTCACCCTATAAAAAAGGTAATGCTATCAGCTAAATAAACTATCAGCAAAATTGGATGTCACAAGGTTGCGAGTACAACAACTGTATTAATTTTAATGGTCGGAGTATATAGTGTTTACAGAACTCGGGATATTTAGTTCATTTTTCGAAAATCTCTTTTACAGGCAATGTCAATCTACCGAATATGTTTTCCACCAATTGAGTTGGAAAAAGGTATTACCTGTTCACAGACCAGACTAATAGCAGAAGACAATTAAGAAAGAGGCTGAAACCTCGACACAACTGGGCTGCCATTTTTGCTATTTTCCTGTACTTAAAACTTCCTTGGTTTTTTATTTTCGGTCAACTGCAAATATCCTTTGGTGTCCTTTAAGTTTTTAGAAATAGATCGGACACAAATGCTTCCTGGCACTTTTACAACTCGTTTTCGGTGGACGACTAACATTTCCTTTTGAATATCGTGACTAATTCATGCAATAACAAAGCGAATCTTTTGAAAATTTATATTTCAAACACTTTAATGTATAGGAGAGTCTGAAGACGGTGCTTTCGACTGGTTTTGTTTACGGAAAAACGAAGGAGATTATAAATATGACTAGTTATTCACAATGATGCAGAAAGTTGAGAGTTGTTTGCATGTCGTATTACCTTCGTGATATCCTTGGGAAGATGACCAACATAAACCGAGTAAAGTTTCGTCGTATCGAGACTAGAACGTCGTGGACCTTGCACATTCGGAAAATAAGAAGGATATATGAAATAATGACTGGTCACGTGTTCCTCCCGAGCCAACTCACTAATCACGTTTTCCTTTCTATCTCTCAAATAAGACTACCGTTCCTAAATTTGTAATGTTTTAAAACAAGGAGAGCTTAACTAAATCCATACTATGGCGCAAGTCACAATTTCCATCACTGTATTTAAAGCGGGGCACTGGTAATTAAAAATAATTTAGTTTTCCTTTTACAAAAGGACTCTCCGAAAAAATTATATTCATCTCTTATTAGTTCTAAGAATCTTCAGTATTTCACGACCGTTCACAAATTTCAAATAACAAGGAGGAATTTCGTGCAAAAAAATTCTATACTTCTGTAATCATGTACATTTTTCGTGCACTTGTCTGAAGTCATGCGCACATTTGTGTACAACTTGTGTAAACTAATCGTGAAATGGGTTTACATTTTTCACGCACAGCCAATCAAAATGCCTTTATTTTTAATATTTCATGTGAAATGGTAAATTATGTACCTTTTTACCGGAATTAATCAAAATTTACCGAAATCGTAATTAAAACAAAATTGTTGATTAAACAAAATTCCTCCCCGTTATTGCAAATAGCTTTCGAAGTGAATTTTTAAGGTTCAAAGGATATAAATAACTCGAACGGATGTCAGAAAAGCGAAAACACAAGAAATTCTCGATTTAGGATTATGGGGCATACAAAGATTATCCAAACATCAACCGGACCAGTATAAATTACCTACTGAAATTTTGCCATTTGTTAACATACCACTTTTTTTTCAAACAAGAAGACATTATTGGTTGATGACAGTGTTTTTCACTCATTGTTAAAAAAAGGGTCGATTTGTGTTATAACTTATAGAGGATGAGATCGCAAATAAGATATATGAAAGAAAAGAATGATTGTGTAAACATTACAGGAACTTACCAGGTTCGGAATCGCGCCATTGATAACGAGGTCTGCCAAGAGTTGAGTCAATCACATTGTCTTGATTTGTTGTTTGGGATCCTTTCTTTTCATCAGCAAAAACTGAATTCTAGTCAAAGCAATAAATACAAATTAACCACGTTGCACGCATTGATGAAGCTAATGGAGGCCATATAACAGGATGACCGCCGCAGTTCGAAATCGAAGGTTATATATAGTTACAACATGTTAGTTAGTTACACAGAGAAATTTTCACCAAACACACTTCATATTAATTAGGTTTTGGCAACAGTAACGTTAGCCTACGTAAGCCTTAACTGAATTGGGCTTTTATTATAATTCAAATCTGCCTTTCCGCACATTCGACCATATTTTTCCCTAAAAAATGTGCAGTACGTCTTTTTGGGTGCAACATATTTTACACGTTCAGATTTCATTGGTAAAAGTCGTCGTCATTGTAGCTATAGTTTTTATTATAATATTTTGTCCGAAATGTAGTTGTTTTCGTCTTGTAAACACATTTTTCACCAATTTTCCGGAGGTCTTTTTAAAGACATCCGAAAAATAAAAATACCAAACCGCACTTTTTTAACAGCTTCATTAATCATTATGATATACAGCCCCGACGCTTAAGCCTTAGGGTCAGGCGTTTCAGCTCAGAAACAAAAAAAATCTTTGCTTCAGGCAAGTATGGGGCATGCATATTTCCAACATTCAGTCATTCACTAGCTACCAAGTGCACCAGCCTCGTACCCAGGCGCTTTAATAGTAAAATATATAATGTTTCATTCAGTTATAGTATAGAGGTCAGCACCCCCGCGCGCTCGCCTTTATTCAACTGACCACCCCAAGCACCCCCGCGCGCTCGCCTTTATTCAACTGACCACCCCAAGCACCCCCGCGCGCTCACCTTTATTCAACTGACCTCTATACTATAACTGAATGCAATATTATATATTTTACTATTAAAGCGCCTGGGTACGAGGCTGCAAGTGCACTCCAAGTTACTTATGAGGTCAGCGTGGAACTGTGGAATGCATTTTAAACATGGCTGTCAACATTACAGCGAAGAAGACCAACTGGAACACGAAAGATATACCTGAGAAAAGCAAAACAGTGCAAATAAATACCGGGTTTACAGAAGAGCAAATGGCGAAAATAAAGCTTGGTTTTATTCCCCAAGCAATGGAGGAAAAATGGTTTATATATTATGCCGAGGAGGAGGAAAGCCTGTATTTACATCGCAGCTGGACAGGAAATTGCGTATACATTGTAAAATTTAAGAAAATTGACAGTGGTTATGCAGCGATGACCGCTCTGGTCAATGATGATCCAGAACAGTATAGGTCTCGTGAAGATCCAAAAGACGAAAGGGAGTTGTGTCTCAATATAATTGGAGCGGTATTGCTTGGTGAATACGGTGATGTTGGTTCACCTCTCGAAGCTTGGTCACTGCTTGGCGTACACAGCTTGCAATGACTCTGCACCCAATCACAATATCACATTTCGAAATAGGTATACTGGCCATTCAACTGGATTTTCACTTTCAGAGAAATATATTTTTTTTGAAATGAGAATAGTTTAAATAGACTAAAATAGTTGAACATTAACATCTATGCAGTCAAAATTAGTGTAAGTGCAATGATTTACAAACATGCATATAACTTTCATAAATGCAAAGTAAGGAATTGCTTTAGAAAACAATTAATTTATTCAACTAATAGATTTTGTATAGTTAATCATTTGAGAACTAGGAAATTCTGTGAATATTGCTGACACCATGGTTATACATTAAAACGAGGAGTATAATGATGTATATATAATTAAACACTTATATATATTTATATAAAACAATATAAAGGATAAAGTCCAAAAATATTGTACATTTTGAAACAATTTAATCTGCATTTCATGCGGAGTATGCAGAAATGAGCAATTAGGTGCAGGATTACCACAATACTCAGACATTCACATTAGATATCTAATTGATTTGTCAAAAAAGTAAATTATTTATTAAATATCTCCCTGTTAACTATAAAGTAAAACAATAATGAAAAGTTTCTTGATGGGGTTCCCCATCAATGATATATTCTCATTGACTATGCATTTCAAATATATTATGCTACTTTTACGCCTGCAACCAGGAAGTAGCTACACTAAGCCGTAATTTACAGTGAGCACAACTTCCAACTATAGTTACTTTATACTTAGCTTATCACTGCTTATCATTTGAAAACTACTCACATCTACATTTTCCTACTTTTTTTTTGTGTTTGTTGTGAAGATGCCCACTTCTCAATACAATGAAAACAAAACATCTTTTTGAAAACAACACTGTACATTTCAAAAAAAAATTGTCACAAAAAATAATCACTGCAAATTATGAGATAAATTAATTAACCATTTCAAGGAATTCACATGGTTTATCATCAATTTATTTGCAATTCCTGATTTTACATATTTTCGCATTTACAAACCTTAAATTTAGTTTTGTAAATGAAACACTATTCAAGTTGTCTTGCATGCAGGTTATTGTTCATGACGGACTACTTTATATATCTAATGTATAGGCCCCATGAGATGGTCAAAGTTGCGTGATGTATGTGCACATATGTGATCATGCAATACTGTATTTAGTATGGCTATAGTTGTTTCGTGTTCTCTAGTTCGAACCTACTATCTACTACGTATCTACATTTCTGCTACCTATATCTACCCACTGTGATAAACCCACCCTACAACCTTTGCTACCACGCTGATCTGATATGCAATTTGCATGGTCATTGGTCAACCAATCATTTCAATATTAAAGTAATCATTTATTAACTGTCTGTGTACGCATTGATTGCTAATTCTATTCTGTCGAGTTCGACTGAAATATCAGCGCACCACGCCACCACCTACATCTCGCGCGAGCCCGTGACTGCGAATTATCGTTCGGTCCGTGAGACGTACACTAACAATGGTATAGGCACTTTAGTCTTTAAGACACATTCAGACAATCATATGAAAATACATAATTATAAGGTTTACCAGGTGCCTCAAACGGGTATTAAAAAATTTTGATTTACGATGTTAATGTATGTAAGCATGCCTGCAGTAGTGAATGAGATGTTTTAGATTTTGTTTAAGAAGCGATTCAAAAAAGTAAAAAAATGCCAAAAATTACTAAAATCTGCAACACAAAACGCACGACATAAAGGTTGTCATTGGATGATTTATATTCATTTGTAAATGTGCTTAGACATTTTAGTTGATACAGCATTGCGTGCTTTATTACCATGCCATGGCCCGGAAATATAGTTTTGGATGATTTGTGAATCACATGTGTATCAGAAAGACTATATTTAAGAGGTTGCATAAGGAACATGAACTGTGATTGTTTTTACTCTGCAATAAACGATGACTTTCTTCCAAAACCCAAAGACTGCATGTAATCATGCACAAATATGTCGAATGTGAATCGAGATTGAAGCATTAAAACATTTGAATCTCGCCAAATATTGATTTAAAAAGAAAATGCCGCGCGTATACCAAAATTGAAGGTTGTCCTAAACACTATAAAGTCTATATACATAAAATCTCTGTAGTTTAAAAGTCATAAATTATAATTGATACCTCTGAACCTCTTAAATGATACATCAATTCAAAAACTATAATTAATTTTGAGACTCGGTATGAGCTAATTCACCATAATTTTATTATACATATAAGTGGAAAAGGAGGTGTAGAATGACGCATGACTGAAAAGTTAGACAAGACATATTAGAAGACGAGTTTTTTACAAACAGTAAAAATCACAGGGTTACGCAGAATTGAAATACTTTCATCTTGGATGGTAAGAGAATGTTTATGTTTAGAAATAACGAAGGCTTTCCTGAATCTAGCTAGTATTTCGGAAGATTCGGCTAACGGAAAGATGAAATTTTGATATCATCATAGCAAAGACAAAGTGTTAAGTGTCCTGAAGGCTGAAGTGTTATAATTAAATGCCTAAGGGCTTTTAAAACACTCGACAATTGTGGAAGATAACAGATTCATCGCCCCATGCATTTAAAAATTATTTCCCTATAAAAATTCGAATTCATCATAATCAAGAATCAGCGATAAATTTATTAACCACTTCTTGGAATTCACAAGGCTTATCATTGTGCACAAAATGACTAGCACCTGGGATGATTTCTTGTTTGGCTTTTGGAAAAAGTTTTCTTGCCTCGTTAAGGTCAACAGTGCTGGAACAAACAAAAAATAATATTTTCAAATATTGATCAACTTAGTCTTAGAAAATGGTCGGCTTGCTTGTAAAACAATAGGATTTTGAGAAAGCAGCAAGAAAATGTTGTAAATTTATGTTGTATATTGCAAGATACAGTGTATGTCTACTTTCAATACGGATATAGCTACTTGTTTCCCCAGCTCTTTTTCATAGATCTCTGTTTATAGACTGAATGGACCACTTGCATAATATACCAACTTTTCATTTAAGCGACAAGAACGGAATTTCCGAAAAGGAAATGCTGCGAAATATTGTAAAGTACCAAAGATATAGCCATGCGAAGTTGGCAAATTTTGTATACTTTTGCACTATTGCTGAAGGAGTGTAATAGTGTATATACACACCTCTACCCCTAATGCAAAAGTATACAAAAATTGCCTACTTTTGCATGGCTAAATTTTCCGTACTACTTCACATTTCGCAGCCAAACTTGGCAGTTCGCAATTGTACTATAATTTCAGTATGCTCTTTTAGCTGTCGTGATTTATTTCCTGCTTGTTACCTAGATCACAAGTTGGTCTATTATTCAAGTCAAGTGGTCCATTGCATTATCTACAACATGCATGCTCTAGCACAAAAGCCCGTGGAAGGGGCGGTGGAATAATTTAATGAAACAAAATAATATTTTCCTACGGAACATGAGATTCTCCTCCTTCGACAAAGAGTGTTTCGCCTGGATAAGGAGCCCTTCACATCCACAAAAACATCCAGATTATTGTACATATTTTCCAGATCCGTTAGCCAATGAAACATTCCTTCATTATTTTCATGTAAATTTTTTAGCAAGTAGGCACGGATAACTGCACTCTGAAAGAAAATGAGATGTAGAATGAACAGAAAATAATTGCTAATTCTATTAAATTCTTTAATGAGGTCTGACAGTCTAAACATTTTTTCTTTGACTTTGGATAACATTAAACTTTAGTCTTCCTATAACTAACCAGGTTTTCACGCTAGAACACAGAATTGGTTTTTATTCAGTTTAAATTTTTGCGTCAGAGCTGAACCTACAAACAAATAAAACGTTTACAGTATTAAACGCTTGGCCGACTATAGATATAAAACTTCTACGATCTATTCAAAACATTTGCTATTTTACTTAGACTGAAGTTACGGAATACAACTCTTTAGGTTCACCTCTGAGCCAAATATCTTCAAAGTCAACCATGAAAATTTTATCACTTTAGCTGTATTACTTTTTGAGATATCGCGCTAAGAAAAGCGACAAAAAACATTTTGCATGTATTCATAAATTATAGAGAACAATACAATAGAACAATGAAACAACAGAATAAACCAATCGACCCCTTTAGTTTGCGTTCGTTGTATATTTTTTGAGAGAAAATATTCCGGGATAGATTAGGGAGAGATTTAAGATTGCATGCCTTGAGATTTTTATAACAGCATAAATCATGATTTTTAGTGTCGTAGACTACCTTAATTAAAGAACAAGAATTCGGTCTTGATAAGAATTATTAAATTTACTGTAATGGTTTCTCTCGCATTATAAAATGTAATACACTGCATACCACACATAAGCCCCGTTTACACTACACTAAAATCATTGGCACGGCACGGCTAAAAATGGTACTCGTGCCTATTCATTACTGTTCTACCAATACAAAGGCCGAGCTATGGCTCGAGGCACACATATAGACGTAGCCCAAATTCTTAATACTTAGTCTTCAAATTTGGTGAGCAAAAAGATATATAAATGCTAAACACAAAATATGTCTTTGCATTGAAGATTTGAATACGGTATAGCGACTCACTTGAATAGACTCCGCCAACATTGCATCGGCATTGCTATTGTTAACTTTGGTTAAATCCAGATTTCTCATTGCAGAAAATACCATAGGTAAAGTGCCTAGAGACATAGTAGCAGGCGGTTGGTCTTCTACTATTAACTTCTCCACGCTATCTGGCTTGTTCAAAGCTAACTCCATTGCAACTTTACCGCCCAAACTGTGACCAATTACAATAGCTTTAGAAACGTTCAACTGCTTTAATGTTCTGATAACGTCGCCGACCATTAATTGAAGCGTCATTGTTTTGCTACGTGGACTGCGACCATGATTACGAAAATCAACAGAGATCATCTGTATTTGAAAATTAAAAACTTAGTTCAGTTAACACTGTGTTTGCTGAATTATAGTCAAGTACATTATTATATTTTTAGGCTAATGTGCTTTATAAAATTTTGAGGCAATATGCATGCTCATTTTTTAAAAAAAAGGGTTGAAAAAATTCTTAATATCTTTTAATATTATCCACACCCTCCCCCCGCCGAGCAAAAGAGAATACGCATGCATTTCAAGTCAATAAGCGTATCGCCAGCGAATTGCAAAATATTTCGCGCTTTCCGCCTTGGAAATGCCATGCACCACCGAAATAAATTGTTTCTACTTGGCTGCCATGGAGTTTCAAAAAAAACGAACAAAATATTCGGTAAGTGGTGGCGGCGAATTCGAGAGGCTCTAGATAATTTAAACAGGGAAGTGCAATTTACATAATCCATGAGTGACATGGATAAGTATTACAATTAGAAAGTATTAAATAAAAAAAGTATTAAAAGATTAAGCCATCTTATCCTGCACTATCGAGCCACCTTAAAAATGGCAGAGGAGTATACATGGCAATTACCGTACGAGGTATCGCCAAACATCTGTCTCGAAATGGATCTTAGTTTCTAGACCGGTCATAACTCATAACCTACCTTTCTTCCAGTCAAATCACGGTAGGATTTGCAGAATTCGTGCCAATTTACAGTCGATCCAAACATTCCATGAATTAAAACGATAGGACAAAATTCCTCTTGTCTTTCGTCCCCGTATATTCGATAGAATAAAGGAAATGTTCCGCTGGCGATGGACTGGTCAGAAAGTGACCCAGCCATACTATTGTATTGAAATCTCGTTTGGAACAAACTCTGATATTTATTGCAGGATAAAGCCGTAAAGATGTCGCGACAGCAATTTCATTAGCGATAGGCCTTTCCGGTATTCACGTCATACTACAATTAAAGCGCGACTGAACCGCGAAATCGACAATTGATTGACATCGCTTGTTTTTCAAAGTTGCATTGCCGTTGCAATTTTCTATAACATTAGCAAATATTTATCATTTATAGAGCTGGAGTGAGGGAGATTCGGCAAAATTCCAATGTCGGTGAAGCCGTGAAGCGATGGTATATAATTATAATTGTTATATAGGTGCTGTGTACTTTAAAAAAATGTGATTGGTTTATTCGTTTAAATAAATGCAATTTTTTTTCCGCCAGGAAAACAAGTCTTTTTTAAATAAAATTGTCGTGTAACATGTATGTTTTCGTTCCTATATAACAAAAAAGTTAACGTACTCTACCTCGGGGAATAGTGAGTTTTGTTTTCCATCGAGTCTCACTTTTAGGAAAACATTTAGACTCTTCGGAAAACAAAACTCACTATTTCCCTCGGGAGCATACATTAAGTGTATATATAATATTATTACTGCATGGGGGAAATATTTCGCCGAATCCCCCGAGCAGAGAGTTTATAAATGATATACTGTATTAAACCGAATTTAAGGATATAAGCTAATAGCTTGTAAAATGGCCACATACAGTACAAATCTTCATAAAAGTATTTCCAGTATAGTGGCAGAAATCTCGGTGGGGTGGCGGGAACAGTTGCTGATGAGAGATATTCACCGGTGAATATTAAAATCTTCCGGTACCACTGTAGTGAATACAAATGATGTAAACGCGAACGATAAAAAATTTTATGATCACGTAGCAGAAATCTAGCTTTCCCATTGGACAGTTTGAATTTAGAAAACGCTTTCATCTAACACTGCTTGACCTGACGAAAATATTAAATATGCAATCAATAAACCATCAAAAAATTTGTAAATTCACACATTGTGGAATCAAGCGCTTGAATATTATAACAAACAGAGTCACTTTTAATCATTTATGTTCAAACTTAACCGCTGAAAAGGAATCCCTAATCTTTAATAACTAGGATTGTTAACTTAATAACCCACATGGGTACATTTTTGCACAGGTAAATTTCACAAAGGTAAATTTTTGCTAGTTAACTCAGGTTAAATATAACAGCTAGAACAATCCACCAAATACACGGCAGGCAGCCAATTGTTATAATTGGCTAGATTTAACAGAATACACCACACTGGTACCATATATATGGTTGTGTGATACAGACTACAGGAATATATCAAATTGTGTTGTCAGTAAAACAGGTCCCCTACAATCATGATACAACAGCATGCACTTTCATTCCCTCCCCCCAAATGAACAAATTCCTTAAACCTCGTATCATCCTACCTTAACAAATCCAACATCATCACTTTGCCATATAGGTACAGATTTACAAACTGGTGAAGTTTCATCCTCATTAGAGTGTGCACATTTTTTTTCTTTTCTATCAGTATTTGTATCTGTGGGGGATGCTAGTTGACCAAGAAGTTCATATAACACCTTTTCCAATTGTTCATTATTTCCCAATGACTTAAGAATGTCTGTCATGTTGCCACATCCTGAAAGATTATGAGTGGAATATGGAGTCACTAACTCCCACGTAAACAGGGGCCAGGGCTTTTCTTACTTTATCATTTTCAAAGATAATTAGCTTAACTAATCAGTATGCCTTACCGCAGCTTAAATGGGCTATATACTATATTTAAATAGATGATTCCCCATAAACTCTAATATGAATATCCAACTCATAGTCCAAAACGTTTTTGCAAATATGATTTATGGCTCACCGAAGATTATCTGTCCAATTTAAAATGTCTAAGTCTGGTTTAAGTTACATGTAAACACAATTGGAACTTCAAATAGGAAATGTATACATTTTTAAGAATTTGCCAGCATCGGTAATAGGGGGGAGGGGGGCTATATTCATATATTTATGTCAACAGACTGTAAATTAAGACAATCGATTTCAAAAGGAATTGGTCAAGCAAAACAGAAATGGTATTTAAATATCTCCACCCTCTAATTATTGAATTTGCTGGCTATGCCACTATCTGAGATAAATTTTATTCTATCTTGCCCTGAAAAGACCCACCATGATATTTATATTTTCAACATAACATTAAACAAATATGCAAATTTATATAAACAATCAATCAATTGACCTGGTTGATCAATTGCAAAGCTAAAGTGTAAAACGAAATAGGCTATATGTCTTGCCTATAGGTATATCAGCATTAGTATGAAACATCGCACTATTACATAACCAGGTTATATAAGCCTATATTGGTGCCAATCACTTACCAATTAAAAACCACGTATTGGCGTCTGGCGATGGTATAAAAATACGTATCCAAACGTTTTTAACATTAAACCAACGGTTTTTCCCCTTTCGATAACTTCAACAGTTTAAAAACAGGACTGAAAACTTAGGTATAAAAAAGCAAAAAAAAACAACACATCAAGCACTATTCCACAATGTATATATGTTGGCTATGAAGTTTATATGGCAAAACATCGATCGTGCACACCATAGAGGCAAAGACCACTGAGCTATATAATAATTCCTGGAGGACCGGCTCCTGTCAAAAAAGTGAAGCAAAAAACATGGCGGATTTTGAGTTTTGCTGACGCCACATGGTCCCCTTTGCCCATGGTAATTACCACTGACATACCGCGATACAAAGTCAAAAACGTGTCCATCACCCTCCCGATTTTTATGAAAATATTTTCGGTTTTCGGTATTGTTTTCGGCATATATTTTCTCTGCATTTCATCTAAAGTCTCTTTTTCACTGTTCAACAAGTTATATGGAGAAGTGGTTTCTTGCTCTACTTATGATGCTGTGAATGGCCTAATTAATCTATCGGGATATTAATTTTTACCTCAGGTAAGCCGGTTTTCACAACATTTTCGTTTTTCGCCTTTGGTATAGACAACTACCAAAGCGTCTGTTGCAGTAATTCCTTTGAAATTAATGTTAAAAACGGCAAATATGCTTCAGCCTTTTTGATCAATGGTACATGACTTAGTTACGCTATGAAAAACTATATTTTATGAAAAAGGATCAATAACTGATCTTTTAAGTTTTGGCTATGTTGTTTTTTTATTAGAACTCTTATGGGATTTGAAAATGTCAGGCACTGGAGCTTTCACTCATATTTAATGCCAATTCATGAGTATTTTCATTCAAACAATTAAGATAAATCAATATTCAATCCTCCCAGTAAATCTACTAGTCTCTCTATTGATCCTTAGTCTATTTTAGATGAATTTAAAACATTAAACATGATGACTGTGTGAGTGCTGATACAAAATATTTCACTGTTAGATTTCAACAGTGTTTGTTAAAAGTCTAGTATGTTATCTTGTTTGCCAAGTCATGGCCTAATAGACTTTCTAGCTTGATTCAAGCTTGTTAATTTGCAATGATTTCTACTCCTCTCTGGTTCTGTCCTCTGGGTGTACTCTATTGAGTACAGTTAAACTTGGTCTGATCTCTCTTTTTTAGGATAAAGAGGTTATGGAATTTGGGGATGGCTTTTTGCAAATTATTGGAGCATTAAACTGTTAATTTTACCATGTTGACTTTGTTAGTTATAGTTACAATAGTTATCTAAATGAAAAATAAATTTATACAGACATGCATTGACTGAGCAGTTTGTTTTCAATTTGCTGCAACTTTTATAATTTTCTGGAAAGTTTTACCCTCCCTACCATTACAAGGAATATTATCATAGGGATAATCAGGAATTGAAGGTTAATAGATTATAGACTAATGGAGGAATGAATAGGCTCAGTTGCATTTTCATTAATTCATAAGACATTTGTTGATAGCACAACTAGTACCATAATCTTCTTGGTACCATATATAATCAAATTTTTGTTATTTACCATAGCCTTTCTTTGCATTATCTGGAATATGATTCCACTCAAATTCTTGAGTCAAGCAGGGAACAATTTGAAAGTGCATTACTTGGGATACAGTACTTAAGATATGGGTAACTTATAGCTATAATGACCTAAATGAAAATATCCTATGCGAATATATCTTGAAATACCATTACTAATCAGCCACCCAGCATTTTGCATGAGGTTTGGCCTTTGTTTCCTTGAGTTATGCATGGGCTGATATGCATAAGCATGATGTAACATCACATAACCACATATTTTCTGCCGGTAACCTTTAGTCGGCCATTGATATCCGAAAGATAATCGAAATTTCCGACAAGTCTCGAAAAATATTCAAGTATTTTAAAAATTTTACACAGAAAATATTTATGAATAATGAAAATAAATAATTAAATAAAATAACCTGTCAGCTAATCGTATAAAAATCCTTCGTCCACAATTTTTTTTGCGTTTTAATATTTATTATTTCTGGCATTGGCAAAACAGCGTCAACGACTTGTATATAACTGAAATAAACGCCTTATTGCAAGCCTTTGTAGCAGAAAAATAAATCGAAAAATACAAAACAACAAGGTTTCACGGCAAAAACAAAAATATTCATACAAAACCAGGGGGGAGCATTCTCTTGTAGCGGGCTCATATTTGAGCCTGGTCAGTGGTAATTACCATGGGCAAAGGGGACCATGTGGCGTCAGCAAAGCTTCTGCGCAAGCGCAGAAGGGCGAAGTCCGCCATGTTTTTTGCTTCACTTTTTGAGAAAAAAACATTAGGAGCCGGTCCTCCAGGAATTATTATATAGCTCAGTGGCAAAGACACAGCACGTCAGCACGTGCTTTCGGTGAGCTCCGTACATATCTGGAGTGACAAGAAGATCCAAATACCCAACCCACTGAGCTATATTAAAATTCCTGAAGGATTATAGCTCAGTGCAGAGCTCAGTGCTCAGTGCTTGCTCCAGTGGCTTGCTCGCTTGCTTGCTTGCATTTTTCGGCCGCCATGTTTTTATGGGTTATGCAATAACCAGTGAACTCACTGGTGAACTCTAAATCAGGGCGCTTATATATAAGCGCCCTGCTCTAAATCCTCTAATGCATCTGCGATAACGCAGGGGGTGGACTTGAAGCCGACTTTGTGCTCAGTTTGCAGGTAGACCCAGTCTTTTTTAAATATGTTTGTAAAAAATAAACATTTCTAAATCGATGAAGTTTTCATATTAAATCTTGCACTAGCTTCGTATAATATACGTAAACCCGAAGAATTATGACTGAATTTCTCAAATATGCAATCACATTTAACAAAAATGCTACCGTTACGAAATAATATTGAAGTAAACACGAAAATGACAAAAAAATCGCGCGTTTTTTGAAAGAGTTTTTGAAAGTTTGAGGTACACCTAAATAGTGTAGATTGTTCTTAAATACACCTTCTTTCTTAGTTTGGGAAAATTTTGGCCCTTGTGGAGAGAAAAAAACGAAGTTTAATGGGGATAGGCTTGCTGATTTTAAAAAAGCAATCGAAGCTGACGAATGTGAGGGTATAAATAATAAATAGATACTGCTAATACATTGGTATCTATCGGTATCCACACCATAAATCGACATAGATGAACAGACGGACTTAACATCATCTTTAATGATATCTTAGGACGGAATCAGGATAAAAATGCAATTCATGAAATCAAATTATCTGGAAAATCTATCACCTCGACAGAAGAGTTAAAAGAGGTTTTTAATGATTATTTTACAGACATAGGTCCCAAGCTTGCTCAAACAATCAGTCATAATAGCGATAGTAACTTTGAGGACTTACACAAAATCGGCGCTTACTCTATTGCGTAATTATCTGACTGGTCGAACTTCAAAATGCCATCTTCATGGTATGTTTTCTAAACAAAGAAAAATAACTAGTGGCATTCCCCAGGGAAGTATACTTGGCCCTCTTCTATTCTCTCTCCATATAAATGACTTGCCAAATTGCCTCAAACACACAACACCCAGGCTGTTTGCGGATGATACTAGTTTAACAGCGGCAGGAGAAACATTGGATGAAGTGGAGAAGGGCAAATGAGGACCTAGAGAATGTCCGAATTTGGTTGTCAGCAAACAAGCTTAATTTAAATATTGCTAAAACTGAATACGTTTTAATTGGATCAACATATAAGATAAACTAATTTGAATGTTGAACCATCAATCAAAATTGATAATCAATTAGTAAGAAGACTTAAACATACAAAAGTGCTAGGAGTACAAATATAGGGCGGTTAGAATAATTAAGAACTTTAAAAATGAGACTGGGCAATCTTTACTAGCACGCAATGCACTGGGTTGGATAATCTTTGAAGAGCGTAGAGCTCAAATAAAATCCATGCAGACTTATGTTTAAAACGATTAATAATCTAGTTCCTCGAAGATTGAGAGATCTATTTCAACATTCTAATACGATGCATCATTATGATTTGAGAGGGTCCTCAACTAGGTTATGTCTTCCCAAGTCCAGGACGGATTACTTGAAAAAAAGTTTTAGCTACAACGGTGCTCATGGGAACAAATCCGGTGGACATAAGAACGTGTCATCTTATATATAATTAATTTTGTGAAAAGCTTTCCCCCCGACCTTTCTTATAAATCCTCTTGGTTTTAAAAGTACACTTTTTCTCCATTAATCTCATATAATATACAGGGTGTCCCAAAAAACCCGAAAACTATTGAAATCACCCATAACAATGCAATTGTTAGAGTTTGAATGCCTAAGCACTCTGTTGGGCCCACAAGTGTATAAATCGGGGTTGCCATAAGCATTTTTATGCATGCATATGATGCAGTCAAATTTGCTAGTTCGCAAAAATGATATTTACTAACAATATTTACAATTTACAAATATGGATAACATTATTTAAATGTGCATCTCAAGGACCATGTCCTTCGACATGTCCCCTTTCTCTAGCAACACAAAGCATTTAGCATTTTATAAGTTGCATTAAATCCCCACGGGCTGAAATTCGTGAACACAGCATTCAAATTTTAACAATGAGTGATTTCAATAGTTTTCGTTTTTTTTGGGACACCCTGTAGTTTACACTTTCATGTTTATATTATATGTTTATAAGTATTCTACGCATATTGCATGTACAGGGTGTCCCAAAAAAACGAAAACTATTGAAATCATTCATTGTTAAAATTTGAATGCCGTGTTATCGAATTTCAGCCCGTGGGGATTAAATGCAACTTATAAAATGCTAAATGCTTTGTGTTGCTAGAAAAAGGGGACATGTCGAAGGTCATGGTCCTTGAGATGCACATTTAAATATTGTTATCCATATTTGTAAATTGTAAATATTGTTAATAAGAATCATTTTTGCGTAGAAGCAAATTTTATTGCATCATATACATGCATATATATGGCAAACATTTATACACCTGTGAATCTCAACAGAGTGCTTAGGCATTCAAACTCTAACAATTGCATTTGTTATGCAATTGCATCAGTTTTCGTTTTTTTGGGACACCCTGTAGTTAGATTAAGGAGGTGGGTGGGATTTGATTTGGTAAAGTAGTGCACACCTCTTTTG